TCTCCTCCTCGCTCGGTGACACAGATTGCATTGGTTGTCGCGAGAGAAAATCCGCATGGACGTTTTCTTTCCCCGCGAGATACTGCATTTCGTAATCATATGCCGCCAGTTGCAATGCCCATTTCTTGATTCGATTAGAGGCGAGAGTGGGGACATCCTCGTGATTTCCCAGTAACTTCAAGAGTGGCCGATGATCAGTGACCACTATGAACTCTCTACCGAGTAGGTACTGGCGAAATTTGGTCACTCCGAACACCACAGCCAATGCTTCTCTTTCAATTTGAGCATAGCGTGACTCTGCTGGGGTCAGCTTACGCGACATGAATGCGATCGGTCGTAATTCACCATTCTCCTGCTTCTGCAGTAGGACTGCGCCAAGGCCCACTCCCGAAGCATCCACTTGCAACACTGTTGGCCTTTGTAAATCATAGTGTGCCAGTAGGGCTTCTGAACACATAGCATCTTTCAATTTGCCAAAAGCTTGCTCGTGAGTGGTCTCCCAGTGCCATTTCCCACCCTTTTTCAAGAGGTCGTACAAAGGAGCTGCAATTTCTGCGAAATGAGGCACAAACTTCCGCACGAAATTTGCAGAACCGATGAAAGATTGCAATTCGGCAACATTCTGTGGTGGTTTGGCCATTTTCAGTGCCTGTATCCTGGCTGTTGAAGGGGAGACGCCCTGCCCACTGATCGTGTGACCTAAGTAAGAGAGTGCCTCAGCCATGTAACAGAATTTCTCCGGATTCAATTTGAAACCTTTCTCATCCAGTCGATGGAGTACCCGGTCCACGTTTTCCTCATGGATTTCATCATTTTCCCCGGTACACAGCACATCATCAATGTACCCGCCGCTGCCTGGTAGCGCAACCAAGGCTTCTTCCATTACCCTTTGGAAAATGGATACGGCACTGTGGAAACCAAACGGTAAGCGTTTGTACTGGTACAGGCCCTGAATTGTGTTGATGGTGGTGTATTTCCTGCTTTCCGGTGCTACCTCTAGCTGGTGGTATGCTTGGGACAAGTCGAGTTTGGTAAACTTCCCTCCCGGGCCCAACTTGTGCAACAATTCCTCGAGGGTGGGGAGTGGGTACTGTTCACATTCTGAATGCTTGTTAATAGTCCCACTGTAATCTGCGCAAATCCGTAATCCTCCTCCTGGTTTCTCTACTTGTACCGTTGGTGAGGCCCATTCGGAATGCGTCACTTTCTCAATCACCCCATCAGCCTCGAGTTTGTTCAACGCGTCGATGTACCGCTGTCGAATTGCTAGAGGTACTGGTCTTGCTCGTTTGTAGACCGGTTGTTCATCTGACACGTGCAGCTTTACTTGCACCCCTTGCACCGTGCCCACAGTGGAGTTGTCAAACAGATTCGGGTATTTGGTAACGAAATCGGTAGTGGATTGCCCGCCAGTGCCCACTTTGAATATAGATTTCCATGGCAAAGTAAATCTGGACAAGACATCCCGGCCTAAGAGAGAAGGACCATCACATTCAGTAACTCTGACCAGAACATTCTCCTCTACACCACCCAAAGCCATTTTCATTTCGATTTCACCCAGACATTTGATTGGATTTCCTGTGTATGTAGATAGGGTGATGCTGGATGGTACCAGCTCAGACACGGAGCCATTGCATTTCAGAAAATCATTTTTTCCTAGCAGTGTGACGGTGCTACCCGTATCAATTTCCAAGTGCACCTGGACCCCATTTAGCTCGACAGGCGTAGTGTACGGTGCTACAGCTCTGTCACTCATGGTGGCATTCACATTCAACATCGGTACAGAATCATTACAAGGAACAAGCTCACCGGGGTTTGATGTTGTCCCGACATGCTTGACGGACCTGGCCGCTTTCTTCTTTAGGCAGGCTCGTTCGATGTGTCCCAGTTTGCCGCAAGCACGACACTTCGCAGATTTGAAGTGGCACTCATCCGGTCGATGTCCCAGCTTGTCACAGCGGAAACAGGGCTTGTCAGATTTGAACGTGGCGTTGTCGGCGAGCCCCGGCTCTCCGCGTACTGCATGAACCTGCGTTGAAAACTTCTCAGACTCGCGGAAAGCTGTCTCATGAGCCGTGGCCATGTCGACAACCTGCTGAAATGTTGTCGTCTCCTCAGCCTTCGCCAGGATTTCCTTCGTCGTGCTGGTAGAACCGATCGCCGTGATGAACTGGGCACGCAAGGCCCTGTCGAGATAAGCTTCAAACTTGCAGTCCATGGCTGCCCGTTTCAATCGAGCCGCGAACATGATCGCAGACTCGCCCTCCTTCTGCAGGGTTTTCTGAAATTGATAGGTGGCAGCAACTACACTGATCTTGGGCTTGAAATAATCACAGAGGAGCTTCAGCAACTCTTCGAACTTCTTCTGCCCTGGTTTATCTGGGAGGCACAAATTCTTCAATGTGGAATAAACCTGACCGGATAGTTGACTAATCAGCACGGCGCACTTTTTCTTGTCTGCCGCTGCCTGTACTGTCTCGGTTGCATCGTCTGCAACTTGGCCAATGTCATTAGCCAGAAAATGAAAATTGAGTCTCTCTGCATACTCGTCAAAATCCCCAGTTTCGAAAATTTCTAATCTGGAGTTGCGTCCTGCCATCTTCGTCGCCAATTGTTATGTCTGGCCCTAAGGGCCCACACACAGCATTACTCAGGTTCGTACAGTTATTGTAATAATCAAGGAAGAGAAAGACAAGGAAAAGAGAGCTCACATTCTCGGACCTAGTCCAGCACAGCAAGCATGCAAAACCAGCCACGAGCCCAGGCGCGCATGCGCGCCTTATCACATCACGTACATGTAATACAAACCAGTCTTGTCCTTTGTGTCCTGCGTCCCGGGGAACGGAATGGCTGTGATTCCGTTACAACGTGGTGCCGAAACCCGGGACGCAGAGGATGAGTAAGTTTGTCATGAGTCTGTTCGTCGTCGTCAACAACTAATAGTACAACTAGAGAGTAAGCGTGGGGATGGAGGTGATCAGGAGAGACGAGGAGCTGGTGGAAGCGGAAGAAGACGCGGAGAGGAGGCAGAGAAGGTGGTGGACCGGCAGAAGCTGTGGACTGGAGCCTGGGACGGCAGGTACCGCATGGAGCGTGTGGCCGTGGCTCGCCAGAGGCCAGTGGATGAGTCTGGCATCACCGACTGTGTGTCGTCCTTTGTTGTTCGTCTTGTTGTTGTTTTGCTCGCTGTGTTGTCTGATCGTGTTTCTCTCGCTGTTCAGTTGGTTGCTGTTGACTGACTCTAAGACAGTGGCAGCATGGCGTGTTGTTGAGTTTGGTTGTCGGTATGTTGCTCTTCTCGTCGTTCTGTTGTTCTGCATTAATTTGTGTTGTAGATTTATTTTGCGCTGCTGCGCGCATATTGTTATTATTTTGTTGGAGCTTTGGCTCTCGTGTTTCGGTTATCATTGTGTGCCTGAGTTTAGAGCGTCGGCTCTTGTGTCTTGGTTTGGCCCTGTGTCGTGGCCCAGTTTTTGTTGTGCTACAATGTAAGCTGTTGGTTTGGGTTTTCCTGTTTTGCTGTGGTTCCTTTTGCTGTTGTGCATGTGGAACGTGGTGTCGGTTTATTATTTTGTGGAATGTCATCAAGGGGGCAGGTGTTGTAAAATGATGTGTTGTTTTCCTGTGTGATGGCATTCCCCAAACTGTCTCGTCTAGTCGCGTGCATGTGTGATATGAGCATGCGCGATTTTGTAGTCGAGAGTCCTTTTGTCAGTCTTCTTGTTCGTCCCTTTGAGTGTTGTCTCCATTTCCGTAATGTCCAAATATAAATAATGTAACAAACCAGTCTTGTCCTTTGTGTCCTGCGTCCCGGGGAACGGAATGGCTGTGATTCCGTTACAGGCGCCGATTTTGCTTATGTGAACCAACCCTAATGTACCAGTTCACCATCAACATTAGAGACCATACGGAGTCGGTTATTTTTAAACATCTTCAAGGTTCAAAACAAATATGCCTTGAAACACAGCACACTCATTGGTAGCAAAATGAAAAAAAGGAGAGGAACAGCAAAATAGATAGCGCAGTGCATGAAATACCAGCTTTTTTGTTTCGTTTTCAATCAAACTATAGTGTAGAGGACAAGACGAAGAAGAGTCACTAATTTTTACTCTGGCTTTATAAAATAGAGTGAAACAGCTTGACAGTAGGCAGCTTGAACGCAAGTGGAGCACACATAGGAGCAATGAATTCAGAAAAAAAGAGATTCCAAAAAGATAGTTATTGAGAATAGCAGCAGCAGTTCGGTTGGAGGGGCGCGTGTGGTGACTACATGCATGGGCTAGTTCAAATCAGGCAGGCAGGTGATGAATGCAGGCCAGGGAGTATATGCAGGACTCTACTCACTGATGCAGAATGGCGCAAATGCACAGGCGCTTATCAGTATAATCTAATGCATGCTAAGCGCAAGTGTCTAGAATCAAGGTACAAGAAATAGTGGTGCGCAGATACTATAAAGAGTAGATGGACATTTCGATTTTAAACATGCAGTCGTTTGTTTGTTCCTCCGGTATTTGATGAGCTCACACAATATAGTGCATACTCATTTCTTTTCTTTCATTTCATGCCAATGTGGATGGATACACTGGGGATCATAAATTAGACAATAAAAAAGACAGTAGAAGTTGAGAAGTTCTTCGCAGTGGCTCTCTGGAGAGCATTGCATAGGACACCCTTTATAAAAAAAAAAGTCTGGAGCAGATGAGAGAAGCAGTGAACACTCCCCTTGCTACAGCGGTACACTGACTCACGGTGCAAAGTCACAAACAATTAGTACTTAGCTAGGGGCCGTCCGGTTACCGATTGTTTTTACAAAACGAAAAGTTTTAGTATTTTTCAGCCCCCACCCACCCACCCACCTTTACTGCAGGTAAAACGAATTCCAATAAAATATTGAAGTCAATTTTCGACACCCAGAAGTAACTGGGCATTCTCCATCAGCATTCAATATAGTATTATCAAAACGAAACTCCATCAAACCCACCCACCCACAAACGAAAACATTTCGTTTTGAAAATATTATTGGTAACCTTGGACGGCTCCTTATGTACACACCATAATGACTCACAACAGACAAACACAGCAGACTGACACAAAAGACTGATACAGTACTCACAAACAGACTGACACTCGCAACAGAATGACATTCACAACACTATACACGAGACGTTTTCAGTTTATCCTGATCTTCCTCATTGTCAGACATGGTTTGCGGGTGCTGCTGCTGAGCTCCTTGCTGAGGGGTGGTGGGTTGATGTGACACAATTTGTAATCCAAGCTGTTCTTGTTGCTGCTGCTGTTGCTGACCCAAAACTCGCATCTGCGTGCCTTGTGGAGATGGAATATTGGCAGGGGGCATGTAACCACCTACATGTACACTTGGAGATCTTGCACACTCCGGGGCCAGAGCAGGCTCCTCCAGAGTGCCTAGCTGCTGGAGACCCGGTTGCAGTAAAGGCTGCAGGCACTGTTGACGGCGTTCAAATTCACGACGTGAGGCATACTGAAGGGCATCCAAAATAATCACACACACACAAACACACACACACACACACACACACACACACACACACACACACACACACACACACACAAACATACAAACATACAGACATTCAGTTTAGTCAGTCAGTCAGTCAGTCAGTCAGTCAGTCAGTCAGTCAGTCAGTCAGTCAGTCAGTCAGTCAGTCAGTCAGTCAGTCAGTCAGTCAGTCAGTCAGACAGACACATACACACAAATGCATGACACACAGGAGAATACGTGCACATCCAGCAAAGGATACAAAAACAGGAGTGTACTACTCCGCTTGGTTTGGCGGCTTTAGCCCATGGCGGAATTTTCGTTGACGTAAGCTTTTTTAAGGAGATCATGACTCATGAGTCATACTGTATGTGGATCCGATGTACTATGAGTTTGGAGTAAAAGCTAACGGTTTTGAAAGCGGCAAAAACTTTTCACCCATTCCTTACAGAATTCAATCTCTTGGATGCATACCATCACCGCTACTGTGTGACTTATGGATATAAAAAAAAGTTGTGTTTGTGTTCTTTGACTTCGATTTTCTGCATTTTCTGGAGACTCACGAGATGCCCAAATTCGCATGTAAATTTTCAAAAATTCTCCCGGGAAGGTCCCCGGACCACTCCCAAACTCCTTCCTCCGGCAATGGGTGGTCACGGATCGACTTACTGTATGCAGATAGTTGGCAGCATGGCCCATATCCGTAGCTATCTGTTTCTCAAACGAAGGGGGATGTTTCGGCAATACATCTCTAGATGATGTCAACGTTGACGCAGCTGGATGACGTGTGGGGGACCAAGCAGAGCGTGGCTCTACAGCCTGCTCCGTTGTTGACTGGCTGGCCAGCATTGACGTGGCCAAAGATAGACGCTGATAGGTGTATGCCTGTAATACACACACACACACACACACACACACACACACACACACACACACACACACACACACACACACACACACGTGGCATATGACAACACACAGTCATCAGGGAGCCGCTGAATACATACAGAGGGAGAAAACCATTGCACGGTGCTGTCAAGATTGTTGTTGCTGTTGTTTGTTGTCCAACAGCACTGCTGGGTGCCGAAGAAGGTAGTGCCGAAGAAAGAACAGGCTATAATTTCACCAAGCACAGCATACCAATGTATACACAGTGACACAACTGTGCAAAGATCATGAAGATCAGAACGACCTAGGCTACAAGGTTGACCCCCAGTTCTTCGGCATCCGACAGTACTGTATGCATGTTTTCGTAGATTTTCAGAGGCCCCTACATACGTATACAAGACAGGTTACATACAGCGCGTTGTGACAGTTATCGACTTGATGAGCAGCTTTTCGGCGCAGCTTTTACATTACATTTTGGGGCAGCAAGGCGGAGGGTGAATATTCTGTGTAGAGAAGTGCAGCCTGGATATGAATATTTGGGTGTTGAAAGAATCCCTTACAGCATCACGTGCCACTGACGAGCCAGTACCGGTAGTTGCCAGGCTGAGGTCTGGATATAAGCTAGCATAGACACTGCCACCGGGAGTAAGGCCAGATGACCTGACAGATGACCTGAGAGTTGATTCAGGATCAGGATGTGGAGGGGATCCTGGAGAGATTGTTGATTGGCTCTCACGCATGAGATCCTCACCGGCTACGAATGGTAGAAACACACAAGCCAGAATAGAGGACACTCGGGCAAGTTGAAAACACATGCACGTTCAACCCTACAGCGATGCAAACAATAATTATTCCAGCATAGCCTATCTAACGGCACTATCCACGACATAGGCTACACAACAGGAAACGATTTAACCCTGTTCATGGTATCAGCATTAACAAATCCCACACCAAGCAACAAGTCATACTCGACACAAAAATTCAAGTAGGAGAGCCCAAGACATCAAGACGCATGAAAAGCAAGAGTTGGTGCCTACAACAACGCCAACCGTTTACGGGTAGTGTTGTGCATCAGCAGTGAAGATGAAAAGAAAAAAACAACAAAATGAAGAACACAAGCAGTGAGAACTTACCACTTTCCTTCAAGGACTCCAAGAAATCCATCGCCCCTCTTGGTGGAATCCAAGACGGATTGCTCAAAGAGAAATGGAGCAATGACAGCTTCTCCTTGTAGCTATCTCCATGACTGGCAGCACCTGCAACAAACGAATTATCTTCGGTAGCCATGGCAGAATCAGATTCACCACCAGCACCACCAGGACCTGACGGAGGGCCAAACTTCTTGCTGCCACCAGCCTAGTAGAAGATTAGATAAAGACACACACAATGCACACCATCATCAGAAGAGACAATTGAGAGAGCAGTAAGATGCTGATGCAGACCAGGTCCATGCATGCATGCATACTAGTGCAGCACCGTGATTACCAGGTTGCCACATCATTACAGCTAGGACACAATCTATCCAGACATTAATTACTCGTCGTGCTCTCAGTGAGATACAGCCCAAGACAGTTGCCTCACTTCGGAACTTACTGTGGGTGCTCTCGTTGCAAGCGCAGCAAATGAGCAGATATCTCCAACACCTGTCATAGCATCACAGATATAGTGTCCACCCAACACATAACAGGAGAACAGTCAGAACAGCAAATATTGTACAGGCACTGCAGAATACAGTCATATAGGCAGTATGGCAGGATACATACAGGCAGCACTGCAGAATATATCATTCATGAGAATTATATTTCTTGAAATCTGCAGTATCTCACACTGCTGAAACAAAGTTCTCAGACTGTGAAAGCAGCGGGCATAGATGTCCTGTAGCTGCACTGGAGGCTGTTCTTCAATGCAAAAAGTCCTGGAAACTGCCTTTACATACCAGCAAGTGACACTGTGAAAACTATGAGGAAAGAGTTACACCAGCAGCACAGCACAAGTACAGGAACACACACTGGCAACAATGCACGCCAACATTACATTCGGTTCATCTCATCAAGAGTCCATAATGCATGGCCTCTTGATCTCACCAATAACACACACACACACACACACACACACACACACACACACACACACACACACACACACACACACACACACACAGGCTTTCCAGCTTCCGTACCGTGAACTCGGATGGTAAACTTTTGGAAGAAGTTGATGATTTCCTCAGAGCGCGGTCTTAGGTAGAAGAAGAGTATGAGTGGCGTCAAAATAGGACTCAGCAGCTGCTCCACGCAGAACGCCTGTGTGCAGGAGATATTACATGGAGAGAGCAAGCAGAGAGACAGGCCGGACCACCAATATCTATATGTCACCAAACACTTTGGTTGACGTCAGTTGGCAGAGATAAGCTAACAATACAATAGTGTATTGTGATTTACTTGAAGAGCAACATGCGCCTCGCCCGACAAACATATTTGCCGCCATAATGCATACTGGGGGAGGGGGGCTTGAAGAAAGGGCCCAGGCCAGAAGACAACGCTACGCAGAAGCTAACTACAGTCTGTTAAAAAAAACTAGATGAGATGCCTGGCTTGAAAATTGGAACCGGATTGACTTTTTCCTATTCTAAACTTTGATAGGAAGTACGGCATGTCCATTATGACAGAGGTTCATCAGAAAACATTCTAGAATTTGAAGTTTCCATGATTTTTGGTTGAAAAACCAACCTCATCATTTTCTGAAAGGACTGTAGTATTTGTGCCCCCCCCCCCCACACACATTCTGAGACAATACCACCAAGCAACTGTCAGCTACTTACCACACGGTATGGGAATAGGAGGCCGACTGCTTCCATCACCTGCATGAGAGGACAACATACCCCAAACATATTGACTGTGCTATTTACATAACGGATGCACGCACCCCATACATCCAGCATACACCTTTCTATCTCATGACACACACGCACACACACATACACACACACACACCACACACAACACACACACGCACAATGCTGATGGTACTGGACAGTGAGAGTTAGTATCAGTTACCGAGACTCCAATGCCAACACACTCCATAGAAACGATGGATAGACTAGTGACAGTGTCCTGTCTGTCAGGGTTTGGGCTCTGGGGATATTTAATTGCATCAATATTGAAGGTGTCCCGGTATTGGGCAGCATGGCAGGCGCTGGTTTGCCACTCTGGTTTGTGCACCAAACATAAAATTAATGATGATGCCATTCAAAGGCCTTCATAACTAACACTTGCTGGGCAAACAAATCGTGCTACTTAGAAGATGTGAAACCTTCCTCTAAGTGTAGTATAGGGGGGAAGCGGATAGTGAAGGTTTATCATTCAGTACATACGATAGGCAACTTGTTGCCATGTAGTGCACAAACTAACCGGGATCGTGTGTGCATTTCCACGCCAGTTGGGAATTGGTCCTTGAAACGTGCCACGGAAAACCTCCTCAAGCAATTCTTCAGGGCACGAACCATCGTCCTGAACACATGAGAAAGTAATTGAAGGCAGGCACAAATATATAAGCCACATGTACCAGTATCACAGTACGAAGAACAAGTCTGAAATCAGGGTAAACGAGTGTGTCTAGAGCAAGTTACAATAATTATCTGTTTGCACCCTAACAGCTAAAAAAAAGTCCACAATTTCACACTGAATGCTTGAACACAACATGTTTAAATACGGAAATCTCAAGGCTACTTGTGCAAGTACTCAGTCATTCTTGTACATGTACAAGTGATTCGACAAACTGGTAGTGAGAGCATGATTTACACGGGAGAACAAGGAATTAGGGCCAAAGTTCAGCATGTCATTGGCCGTGCCGATCGACAGAAGCATGGCAACAACTGCCGTATGTCAGTTTGTACGAATCTTACAAGATTTTACAGTTCACCTCAGCCTCCCTGACAGGCTTTTTTATGTCCCGTACCGTAAGGCGCCAGTGTTACATCGAAGGTGAACTAGGCCTAACTAGCCGAGTGAAATTCTACCCAGGCCATCAGGGGAGACACTATTGGTGTTCCTAGCAGCCGAGCTAGCTGTCAGGGCACATGTGCCTCGAATTGTGAGCGACCACACAGAGTCAATCAAACCAGTATACTAGTACATGTATACCCAGCATTGCAGTACTCACATGAGGGCTAAGCATACGTGCCATGCCGACGATGATGCCCAGCACGAAAACAGCCAACGCCACACGAGGTGCAAGCATCTGGGATTCCATCACTCCCAACACAATAAGCAGGGCAAACAGAACGCCACTGATGAACTTGACGGGCCTGCAAATCAAAAACAGAATAAAACAACACAGTCATATGCACATGACCACATAGTAGTACTGTACATGAAGTTACTAGCAAAAAAAATCACATACATCACCATACTTTTCACGCATTCGACAGCGGAAAACAATGCAACCTAAAATTGTACATGTACGTGGATGTGGATGAGAGTGTCAACAAAGGGAGGTGGGGCGTATGGAAGGTGTGCGTACTGTGGGTAAGCTGAATTGGACTTTCACCACGCATGTGGAGATAAACCTACGTGCTCATAAATACATGTGTGCACACACTTTCGTATAGTCCATTACATCACATACCGCGCAATAACTTTGATCACGGGCGATATGAATAGGTTGATGTACTTGGTGGCTGGATCATAGGCTTTAGCCAATCTGCAGGAAATGAAACAGACAGCATCAGGATTACGTGACTTGACAAGGGCAATAAAGCAATTCCACCTCTACCACATGCGCTCTATGGCGCTCTCCCATGCGCATGCGGTCGACGTGGACTTGTTTTATTGATAAACAGGCCGGAAGCTGAGGCTTACCTACCGCAAACTGAAGTTATTCCACCCACTCCATTACTTGGGCTAATGAGGTAAATAGAGCTATCTTAAAGTCTCACCATGCAGAGCAAATTGTAGAGTAAGAGACTGAAGCTTCATGTAAGGCACTAACATGGACCAGTGGTTACTAAATAAGGTGACACATTTACTCAAATAATTGTCAGCTGCTTGTAGACAGTATACAATGCAAGGATTTGTTTCTTCTTCTGTAGTACATAAATGCCTGAGAAATGTACCTTTGCGTAAACCGGTGTTCGGGTTCATTGTACAAACGCAGCTTCTGCCTTGCATATGGTGACCTGCAAGCATACGGGTGAAGGCATGAAAAAGCATCCAAATATCATACTTGATGCTATTGGTGTATACAATGCCACAAACATCTCGCTTTACAAAGGAACAGGGCACAAAGCCTGTTCGGTCCTCCACCTTCTTCCATCATACGATTAGTAATATTACTACATGTATTAATAGTTCGCAGCACTGAGTTATGTCTTGTCTCATGTCACCATCTGTGCATACGCGGTTCGGGCACACGTGCGTGCTCGCGGCTCGCGCGAACTGAACCATGTGAACCGTGAGCAGTACTTTGATCCATACTTGCATGCAACCTACCCTTATTCATACATGTACTGATAGTGCAGTCAGTTCTGTTGTTAGTTTTCTGTTTCGCAAGTGGAGACAAGTTGTAGTTTGTTTTCCTCTGCTCGAATGATGTGTTTGTTCTTGCAATAAGTCCTTCCGAATAATACCTTTCTCCTTGTCTGAGTCATGTTCCATCGTGTCTGTTGTGAGAGTCAAGTGACTTTATTAGTGAGGGTTGTGACAGCCCGGACAGCCCGGACAGCACGAGATTACGAGTCCAGTGATCCGACAAAGCCATTTAGTGGTCCCTCGGCACCGATATGCTAATCATTTCTGCCCATATCCAAGCTGCAAGCACCATTGAATATCGGACCACAACAAGAGCTGTGGTAACTTGTAAGTCACCAGTGCTACTCATGCGACTGCTGGCCCTCTATCAAGTCTTCCGATTTCCTTCAGCTGTGCATGTGCACACTAGAGAGTGATAGATACAGATACACACAAAGAGAGAGAGAGAGAGAGAGAGAGAGAGAGAGAGAGAGAGAGAGAGAGATTTGACATGAACTCACCAGCTGCGCAGACTAAACGCTCCAGCTTTTTGTTGAATAGTCTGCATTGGAAGTGCACACAGAACATAGAACACTTCTTGCAAGACTTTCAAAGACACGAAACCAGAAAACTAGAGATCAGGAGCAAGTACGAGCAATAAAAGACATGAACAGAAAAAAGAAAAGCAGACAGAAGAATCGCAAGAAGCAGCGGCGGCAAAGGTGGCAACAGCAAAGCCAGGTAGTACCCCAAGCAAAGATACCAGTATCGTTGACCTAGTATTCACATAGGCTATTGACACCACAGCAGCAGCAGCAGAGGCACCTACCTCTCCCAACATGGACATAGTGTGGCACAACTGCCACATGAAGATCAGCGGTGACAAGACCATTGTGATCACGGCATACAATGCAATCGTGTTCCTCATCCTGCCAACACAACGTGAAAGACATAAACCCACAGCAACAGCAGGTCAACACTAAGCAGGACAACAATAACAGTAGGAAATAGTGGTTGTGACTTCGGTGATTTCGGTGATGATTGATTCCTCAGCCTACACAAGCTCAACTGATATGGAGTGAATTCCCCGGAACACTGTGTATTGAGCAGGGAGTGGTGCTTTCTTGCAGGTTTGCCGAGTCGAAGGTTCGATGGACTTCTCGTGTGTTCTGGACGGCAGTCGTTCGTCAGTCAAGTGTCAAGTCAAGTCGGCGGAATAGCATGAGCTCCAGTGTGGGGAGCAAAACCTTTCCTAACAATAACAGCAATGAAGAAATTGACAATAGAACTCACGTTGCAGCTAGTGTGCGTGCCGGCGTTGAGTGAAATCTGCTCTTCAAATTGGAGCTGTCTGCAAACGGTGCACCCGGACCCCCTGGACAAGTAGAAGCAAACACGCGAACGCACACACGCACACACACATACACACACACACGAAGGACACATTTAGACGAAAATCATCAAGGACTCTCAGCTAAGGCCGAGCAGATTGCCACGTCCATCATACCAAGAGTTAATACACAAGAGCAAGGGAAGACCGTATGGTAAAACCCGTATCTAACCTAACCAATCAAGGGACTGCAGAATGATGTCCTTCCATTATCAATGACACGACTGGAAATGACACTCTTTAGCTCTAGTTTTAGTGCTCCTCTGGGACAGAGTTTCCGTATCAGACTGGTCCCATGGCAGGCTTTACTGTCATTGTCATAACTAGTAGAAGGAGGCGGTGTTTTCATAATTACGCTCTTCAAAGCAGTTAAACTTAAAAGCAACTCGGCACTAACTGAAGGGAATAAACTTGAGATCCAGGCAGGCAAAAATGAAACACAAAAAGCATGCAATCACTGCAAAACACAAGCAGCACAACAAACACAACGGACATGCTTGCATTAGTGCTTACAAAAGAGAATCATTTCATAGAGGTATTTCAACTCCTCTGTAAAGTACATCCTGAGCAGGAGACAGAGACACACGCACACACACACAAAGACACACACAGACACACACAGAGATACACACATAAACAAACAAAACACACAACAGAGTTCAGAATTGAATACAGCCAGTAAAAGGAATTGAACTATAGCCTTGGTTCCATAATAGCAGCACCATGCCTCAACCCTTCGTAACAATAGCACCGATACACCGTTTGCAGGATGAATGACAGCTCAAGTATACCGGTAGTTTAGAAAGAGAGGTCAGAGCCCAGCTACTGCATGCATGCACACAGACAGACGAAGACCCCCCCCCCCCCCCCCCCACACACACACACACAAATGAACAAGTACAAAGGACTGACCTTGTTCCCATACACGGCACATGGAACTCAACCGGGAGTACATTCTTGGAGACCAACGCAATCGTGTAGTTCTTGAAGCGCAGAATTCGATTATGAATATCTGAAGAAACAATACAAAAACAACAAGGCATCCCCAAATCAATCTAACCTGACTGCTAACGCTACTAGCCGTGGGTGTATAGTACAGATAAGAGAACTGCATCAAACAAAGTACATGCCCAGTGATCGAGTCTGAGAATAACAATGAACAAGGTGAATTTCAGCTTGACATGGGTGTGCATAGGAAGACAAATGGTACCGGTGGGCAAAGGAGAAGGCATGTGCACCTATCAGAGATCTGGACACAGCGGAAAGTGAGAGAAGCATGCTGACTCATCATCAGCATTTGTACATACCCAGCTCTGTCACCCGGTCACTCTGCACAGAGATGTGGTGGACTTCCTGAGCTTTGATAATTGCCCTCACAACTTGCTCCCAAGTGTAGTTCTCCAACTGAGACTATCAGCAAGAAGACAAAACACGAGAAGACATGGCAGTGCTCAACATCAAAGGTATGCAAATATTTCCCACCGTAGATACTGTTACAGACAGCGTTCTAGTCACTAATGCCATGAGTGAAAGTGCAGTGCTGCAATAGACAAGTGCACTGCAACAAACGCTTTCAAATTAACCTCGTTTACAAGATGGCTCAAAACAGGATAGCTTCACTTAGATACATCCGGTGGGGTTCACCGGACTTCTTCGGATGACCTAAGGTAAGCAGAGGCCTCCTTCGAATGATGTGACGTTTCATATCCCTCCTTTTTTTTAAGTCGATTCGCAGCATACACGCATTTGTGAGTTCCTGAGGTTAGACATAGAATCTTCAAGGTAATTCCACTCAACAATATACCGGTACATGCTATATGATAAGAAGAAGCCACAACCATCGGCCGATGACATACCGGATTGATATTGAGAACGTCATTGTAGAACCGCCTTATTCCCCACATCTCGTGTATGCAGACAACCGCACGGATAACACGTTGAACCAGAAAGATTGAAGCAAAGAGTAGGTAGGCATACCACACCCAGCTCGACCTGCAGACCACACAGTAACAATTGCATTCAGAACACACAAAACGAAAACACACATCAGAAATTCGCACGCCAATCTAACAGAATGACAATCTAACAGCACATTATGTAATATACATGTACATGGCTGTAGTCCCATACCCATGCTAGGTCACCGGCAACGGTACCTACCTGCCTGCAAAGAAGTCTTCAAGTGAAATGATATTCCAGACGTCCACATCGTGGTCACTATCAACATTGACATAGGCATCATGGGCAAGATGGGCTGTGTGATGTGTGGTGCTGGTTGAATTGATAAAGCTGGCATTATGCGCTGTGAAGTAGTGTTCTAGAAACTCCTCCAGACGAACACGTGTTGGCGACATTTCCATCAGAGCTCTAAATTTAACCCCAGTCACGAGCACCGTTGCCAAAAATATCACGAACAGGAATTGACTGCAGAAAAACAATAGCAGAATAGCATGATGAGTTCAGCGTGGGACAAGCATTCAGGAGATTATGGAGATCAACTGCAGTGTTTGCCATACCAAGTAGAAAATAGTACTGAACTAGCACATTAGCTAGCGCCAAGCAGTCAACTGCAAGTGATCCACACAAGATTACAGCAACACTAACAGGTGATATGTGCATACGAGTTTGCATTCGCAAAAGTACAAATATATTTCCCTCAATGCCGTGCAAATTCTCAGACAATCCCCATTCATCATGTCACTGTCTATCATCATAGCGCGACATACCAGTACATGCAATACATGCACTGCACGTCTTTGCATGACAACCATGTGTACCAGTGGTGGTGGTGTTTGTGTGTGTGTTTTTGTGTGTATGAGAGAGAGAGAGAGAGAGAGAGAGAGAGAGAGAGAGAGAGAGAGAGAGAGAGAGGGAGAGGGAGAGAGAGCATAGTGCAAGCCTGTGAATGCATGCATGCGTTTTGTGAAGTGTACCACACACACGCAAACCCCAGAAAGGTTTTCGAAGACAAGCAAAAGACATGCGACCACACAGCAAAACCAGCAACAACAAGGTACGTACACTATGCCAAGGATCTCCTCCAAGCAATAGCACATGAAGCCTTTGCCTTCCCAGAACCGATAGACGTGAAAACGACTTGAAGTTAAGGACCATGGTTTGCAAGCATCAGTATTACAATAAATACTTCTTCTAAGCATGTAATGCGGTAACATGACAATATGAGGAACTATATGGCACGAGTGTCACTCGGAGAACCAGTAAGTGCAACTACAAGTATCATACCGCAGTTGGTGGGACAGAGTTTTACAAACACAGGGAATCCTTCTTCTAATACAGCAGCAGCTGTTACTGCCCCAGGAAAGCATAACAAAACCACTGGAAAAGTGGAGAAATGCTATGCATTTCACAACGTGCAATGTACTCTCAACGAATTTCAAAACGCAATTCCTGCGTCGAGACTCAACGATTCAAAATATTCAACAGGTGACATGAAGGATTTCAGCCTTTGAGAATCTATTCACAAACTAAACATGCACATCAGTGATAATTTAGTGGGACATGGGAGGTACATGTACAGTCAAACTCGTGAATAGCAACCTCAAGTATAACAACTTGCAAATAATGACACAATTATCAGACATATTGACAATTTGACTGTATACTTTCAACCTCACAAATGACGACGACTCGTGAATAACGGCACGTTTCTCATGCAAGATCGAGAGCCGTTATTCTCAAGGTCGACTGCACTGTGTAGCAACCACCATGTGCTACGTACATACCAACCCTGTCAATACAGACTGGTGGGCTTTCTGCACAGGTCAAGCTGGTTGTTGAGCATGATGTGAAGCCCTGATGTGAACAGTCACTACTACAAGATCTATACTCAATTGTTTTAATACCAGACTTCACGACGACGGATAACTGAGCAGGTAAAGCGGTCTATAAGTCCAGATCAAGTTCAATACAGTACAGTAGCTGATACTTCCCAATACTAGAAATAACCCATAGACACCAATACCCAGACTCATCCCACCAAAACAGGACATGCCAGTCAAGAAGAGGATATCGATGAGAAGTAGCGGTCCAAATCGTTTATGTGACGCCATCGACTATCCCCTGCACCAAATAAAAGGGAGAGAACAAACGAATCAAACACAGAGAAGACTCTTCACGTACAGAATGTTATACCGAGTATAATACTAATAGTTACAGTTCGCATGTCACTCATGGAAGGATCCATGGGCTTAACGCATCTGCCAATGAAATCCAGGCAGAAGAGCCAACAAAAGGCATCTCAATATTGTTAGAATGTATCGCACTGAGTATGCATACCGGTATTATGGAGAAAAAAAGGGTTGGTTGACTGGCTGGATCAACACATTTCAGGGTGTACAGTGGAAAGCAGAAGACCAGTAGGCAACAGCGTGAAGGAAGATTGGTACTATTACACATCAGTCATCATTCTCCTCGACATACCTGACTTCAAAGGACGAATGTTCGGAGGTAATTCAGGGTCGTTCGTCTCAGCGTCGGTGCTTTCCAGCCGAGAGTAGCGCACCTCATTGAACGACATCTCTATTTCCTTCTTTTACCAAGCCAGATCACAGGCATTTAGTAAATCCAAGGTGGGCTACTACTAGGCGCTACGGCCCAAGAAATTGGCTGCTGTCCGCAGTAGTTCAAATAGAAACAACCGCAATTTCTACAAGGGACAATAAGGGTAATGAAAGCCTGTTCCTGAGTGCTTCGTTCCCTCTTACTCAGCCACGACGAAGTAAACTAAAAGTTAAATGTTAGAAGCTGTCCAATCACAACACGCTGAGCTCTCCGCCTACTCAATCTTGTGAAACAATTATTTCGACTTCACGTCCTTTCTCGATCTTCTTCAAACTTCACCATTCCTTTGCTTTTTCCTACTGCTTGTTCCGTGCTGTGATTGTTCTGGGAAGCGAAGCCCTGCATAATCATGACAGTCATCGTCATTTCGATCTTTCAGTGACGTCACGTCGTACATAACCATGATGTCATCAGACTGTTCAGGGATCGGGAGTTGTAAAGTACCGACGTTCTGCTGATCTGTGATTCATGTTCACAAGACTGTCAAGAGTTCATAACCCCCGGCCCCGGGGTTATGAACTCTTGATGTTCATGATCTGAATCATCTAATCATGATCGACAGCGCAGTACGAGTGCATTATGCAGTGAACTGACCGAGCTCAGGCAGAAAAAAAACAATCAAGAAAACAGCAGTATTCACAATGACTTTTGTTGATTGTTGTCACAGGACGACAATATACTGTATGTAAATGTATTAGTACTACATAAGAATTCCTTCTGCCACTACTGAGAGATGGTATGTAGATGAGTAAGGGAACTAGCTCTCTGAAAGGCGAATACTGTAGAATGAAATAGTGCTGTGGTCATAAGTTGCACCGACCATCTCATCAGTTGAATCATTTTCCAGAATAGATATCAGTTTTGTTCCAGTGGCCGGCGCACAAAGGAATGCTCTGTAAAGCGTGCACAGCATTACTGGAATGGGAAGCACACGATGGCTCCTGCTATCAAGCATTGCCATATGCGTGGCATCGGTTAGAGCCATGTCAAATGCAGAAAAGTCTCTGCTCAGGTATGTTGCTTATACATAATTATAAATCGGCCACTCACACCAAGACAGCATAAATCCCCGGATAGTTATGTATTCTTGATCACACTCATGTGTGTAGTCACGTAACTATTAGTGTAACTGTGGCCTGTAGCTATTACATTGTAGCTATTTGCTACTAAGTCGTGGCAATTCAATAGTTTCATACTACCCCGGGGATATTTGTATTCGTGTGCTCATTCCCTATTCTTGATCAGCAAGTGAAATGTTGAGCAGTTCTATAAACTCAAGGACTAGTACCGTACTGGTTTTCCCTGACTGCATTCATGCCGTTTTGAAGCAATGCGCTTGAAGCTCTGAAGTCCCCGCACAGTGCAGCCCAGGTCCCGTCTGTGTGTGTGTGTGTGTGTTTGTTTGTGTGTGTGTGTATGTGGTGTGTGTGTGTGTGTGTGTGTGTGTGTGTGCGTGTGTATGTGGTGTGTGTGTGTGTATGTGTGTGTGTGTATGTATGTATGTATGCGGTGTGTACACGTGTGTGTGTGTGTGTGTGTGTGTGTGTGTACGCATGTGGGTGGGTGTACGCTTGTGTGTGTGGGGGGGGGGGGGCATACATACAGTAAACACAAATAGGGCCGGCCGAGGTACCGTAGAATCCCGCGGATAAGCCCATGGGCTTATCTGTTTCACAAGGACATTTCGGTGGGCTTATACGAGAACATGGGCTTATACGCGGGCATGGGCTTATACGCCGACACCAAGTTGTGCTATTGAAAAGTATCAAGGAAGTGAGAAGTACATTGCTGAAAACCACTGTGCAAACAAAAACAACCGATGATTGTGCTGAAATGTACGAAAACAAACGATAATGTGCATGTACTACGTACATGCAAGAGTTCATAACCCCCAAGAGTGTGCAACTCCTGATCAGTCCCTGTATGGAAGCCCGCTCGGCGGAATTCCTTCATTGCGTCATTTTTGGTGCAGTGCGATGAGTCACTCCGATGAATTCTTCTAAAATTTACAGTCAAACCAGGATGCTTCCCCAGGGTAAACTGCCTAAACTGCGATTCTAGTCTGAGTCTGAGCCTCAACGACAAGAAGCAAGGCAAAAGTAAAACAAAGCATACGACCCAAGAGACAAAACTATTTATTTTTTCGATGCAATGGTGACTCTTCGCCGACTTCGGCTTCATCGCCTTCTTCTTTCACCAGTGCAGTCAGACTCTTCAAGAACAATTTCTTCCCCAGGCCATCAGCATATTTCCGGTGCTTTCCTCGAAGATGATTTCAAATGGTTGAGGAACTTGAGAGACTGATGATACGTCGAAGGAGCATTTTTCGGCTGAGTTGCACAGCTATCAGAATGATTGTCCTCGACGGCAATGCATTATTTTTAACAGCGTCCTCACTTCTTCCTGTCGCGATGTCCATGGATTCTTGGAGAAAGAGTTTGTTTTTGAGAAAGTACGACTTGGACGTAGATCTACGTCCGAAATGTCTTCAAAAAAAGCTTCGAAAAGTCGAGGCTACAGCCTTGAGTTAGGAGCGGTTCAGGGTATAGTTTCCAGAAATCGCAAAGAACCCAAATTTACCTCGGATGACAAGCTGCGCATGACGTAATGTAGGAATTTCGCCGAGCACTGGGTCTATGCCCGTTGCACACTCTTGGGGGTTATGAACTCTTGGTACATGGTATGGCCAAGAGTCCATAATTTATGGACTCTCGGTATGACCTAGGCCCATGGGCTTGTACGATGAAGCTTTGTGATGTTCGACCAAACCCTGGGCTTATGCGCGGGTGGGCTTATCCGCGGGATTCTACGGTAGTTCAAAGTAGAATGAATGTCGCTGTCTGATTATCGCTGACATACGTCAAACTTTAAGTTACAGCTGCATAGCCTCTCGCCTCGTTCAGTAGATGTATAGTGCAGCACGCCGTACACATCATAGTTGATGTACATGACATTGTACACAGTTGCCGTACGCTCGGTAGAGTCGAATTTCATTTGCATTGACATTAATTAAGGGACTGGTAAAAATTTGATGTGTTCTGTGACGGGTGTCCTTGGAAGTACTGTAGACTGTATCGTGTCTAGTGCAAGCACCGTCTCTACTATACGTGCATCCTGTGTCCCTTCAGAGCTATTAGCGCACTCTCCGATACAAGCCCAGTCTACGTATTAGGGAACAGGTGTAGAGAAGGAAACAAAGCATTGTTGCTGTATTAGGGAACAGTATATGGGTCATGCACACACAGTTATTAATATGCTAGAATGTTTCCAGAGATTCAGCACTGAAACAGTCGGTACAAAGACGTCTTCTAGTGCAAGCAATGGCCAGGCTACGTACTGGGGAACAGGTATAGAGAAAGGGAACAGAGCATTGTTGCCATTATATTATAATAGGGAACAGTATGATCAATTTGACTTGGCACTTGACTGACTCACGACAGCCATCCAGAGCGCGAGCTCCAGTGTGGGGACAAACCCATTCCAAACAAATTATCGCCGAAGTCGCAACCACTATTTAGTATGCACAATTGATCAGTGTTCTTCGTGACGACATTCCGCTGTACTACACACATCCCATGGCACCATGATCAGTGAACATCAACCGAGTTGGCTTGCGAACATGTGCTCACAAACTTTCCCCGTAACCAGCAAGCCTGTCCCCACTCTCAAGTAAAGTGTAGAATAGCTAACGTGGAGTAGACTAAGAGCATGATCGTAGTAGGAAACCAAGGGTATCCAGTGTGCCATGTTAAAGCCTTGCTTGGCAGCGGAGCGATTGCCACTGCCTCTTGCGCTTGGACCTATGAATCATGTACAGTCATGCTGAATTTTAACGAGGTGTGTATAAGTAAGATAGTGCCCTGCATCACAGCACTCAATTCTATCTGTGCACGGTCTAGTAATGTTCACTGCACAGCAGCCAATGCTTTGCATGCACAACCTAGTGTTCACAGGTCTAGGGCTGCGCATCACCCAATACTAACTTACTGACAATACCCATGTTCCATTGAGCGTCTCTGGATCAAGGCTAGGAAATCTTCCCTCATAATTGTGCTTACCTGTGTTTTGGACTTGTCACTGCAGGGACGAAGCGAAGGAAATGTTCTTCCATGCATACAACAGTTACCTGGTACGCTGTTGTGTTTTAAAATTACATCTGGAGAGGGATTGGGGTGGTGGACTTCTTCACACTTTCCTCATTCTCAACAAGACAGTGATACGAAATCCAATTCCAGGTTTACCTTTTTTTGGTAATCTTTGAATAATGAAGCCGAGCAATGTAAGCCAGGGAGGTTTTAGCAATCGCCGAAAAGCATAGGTGCCAGAAATAGACATCGGTGTGGTAGATTTCATAGTTGGATTTGTACTTTGTCAGAGATAACAGCATTTTTTGTTCAAGAGTTTCACCTAGACTAGAAACTCTGAGGAATTTACACATTTGCCGCGTTAAGTGGCAGGTGACGTGATAACTTTTGCTGTCTTGCACGCAATTGCATTGTCCCAATGGGAGGTCAGTGACTCACCTCATTTCAGTTATTAGATACTGTAAAGTGGCAAGTTTTGCAATGGCGAATTTTGCGATATTAGCAAAAGGAATGTTTTACTAGAGTTTATTGGCGTCAATCGAAAATTTTCATGAATTTTCTGTCTCTTCTCTGACAAGCCACACCAATCGCTAGAAAATTCATCGCTAGAAAATCCTCACTAATTTGTCCTGATGTAAAATTTGCTGCAGTTTTTTACCTGCCAAAATTAGCCGTTTTACAGTAGTGTGTCTGTACCATAGGTGATACCTCCAGACACTGTTACTTCTTGTATCAATCATTACTACTTTAGATTGTTGGCACCTGGCTTCTATCTATCGCGATTCCTGTAGTGTAGCAATCTTTTGGGTTGCATCATCATACTTTCTTTCTTCTCTCATGTCATCATTTACTTTTCAAGCCTCTTGCAAGAAGGTGGAGAAAATAGTTGCAGTCAGGTGTTGTACTAGTGATTGACAAAGTGAATGTCCTCATTCATTTGTGCTTTTTTATTTATCTGAGCGCTTCTGACCTCTCTGTCGGCACTATGTCCCTTTGGTGTTGCTTTCTTGTGCATTGCAGAACAATGCATATCCAGCTGATGAACTCAAGCCATTGTCATGTTCCGGTCGCGTACGCGGTGTTGATGCTAGTCGTGGTGATGTTGATGATGCCATGGGCAACTTCGCCATGACCCTTATTGACTCGCTAGACACACTTGTGGTATGCTTGAGATCGTGTCTTGTGCTCAATATTTTGTCTCGTGGGAGCCATTGGCCAATGAAAGGATAGAGAGAGACAGAGGGAGAGTGTGTGTGTGTGTGTGCGTGCGTGCGTGCGTGCGTGTGTGTATGAGAGAGAGAGAGAGAGAGAGAGAGAGAGAGAGAGAGAGAGAGAGAGAGAGAGAGAGAGAGAGAGAAAGAGAGAGAGAGAAAGAGAGAGAGAGAGAGAGTCGTTCTTGTTCTTCTGCTTGGCATCATTGTCATCTTCTTCGTCGTACAGGTTGCTAGTATTCTTGTACTTCGAAGTATGTTGTTCTTGTTATACTAACTTATTGTAGGTTTTTAGCCAAACTATCATGATTGGTGGCTGACTGGCACATTCTGGCTAACGATCCATTACCTTTGCTCCTGTTGTGTACTAGTCTATGCTGAACCACGTGTACTGGCCGTTTTTCTGTGTACTCCTTTCCAGGTTTTAGGTGCTATTCAAGAATTTAGTGAAGCTGTCAAGCGTGTCCGGTTTGAGGTCCGCTTGGACAGTGATGTGGTGGTATCTGTATTTGAGACTAACATCCGGGTATTAGGGTAAGTGGTGTTTGATTGCCATTGTTTCTTTTGTTGTGTTGTATGTAGCTGTTTCTTTACTAGCCTCTATTGAAATTATTCTTGCGGATCCGCTGACTGGACTGGTCGAGAACCACATTTTTGCTTCTGTGGGACACCACCACCCCACAGTCAGGCATCAGACGCAGTTTTTACACTTTGGAGGAGGATCGGTCGGATCCACCAAACAGCAGTGTTATCCTGTCGAAAATATCCTTGTGGCTTTCCCACTTGAGCTTTTAGATGATCGCCGTGTGTCTTCTTTACATAGTTTAAGTCTGAACTCTTGGCAATGCTTTGCCCACACTCCTCCTGCGAGTAACTGTGTATATTGTAGGTATGCCAGGTGCTCTCTCTCTCTCTCTCTCTCTCTCTCTCTCTCTCTCTCTCTCTCTCTCTCTCTCTCTCTCTCTCTCTCCTTAGGCACATTGCCATGGATTTCTTGGTACATGAACAGGGCTGTAGTAGCTACATTGGGGCAATTTGTCTGATTTGCAGTGGCGATGCTGTACCATGTAGAGATCAACTTGTTATCATACTGATGTCATTTTGAACACATGATGCATTGCTGTGATGTGTAGCTGTTTCTGAAATACCCCTGTCTTGCCTGTGTATTTACAGTGGATTACTCAGTGCACACTACTTTGCTGCCACGCTGAAGGCCCAGCATGAACCCCTGCTTTCTTGGTATGACAATGAACTTCTTGGCATGGCCAAAGAGATCGCAGATCGCCTGCTTCCTGCCTTTGAAACAGGAACTGGAATCCCATATCCCAGGGTAAGCATTTCTTCATCCAGCATGGCTTCAAGGTCTTCTACTATAACATTACGCATGTATCATGTTGAGAGTGTGTGTGTGCGTGTGTGTGTGTGTGTGTGTGTGTGTGTGTGTGTGTGTGTGTGTGTGTGTGTGTGCGTGTGTGTGTGCGTGCGTGCGTGTGTGTGTGTGTGTGTGTGTGTGTGTGCGTGTGTGTGTGTGTGTGTCTTCAGCGAGCAAGACCGCGTCATCTGCGTACTCAATGTCGTTGATGATTGCGGCAGTAGACTGGCGAGCGGGCTTAGAGAAAACGCCCTGGTGCTGAGAAGTGCCTTGAAACATTCTGCACGGTTGCCTCTTCCTTTGGCCTCTGCGTCAACGCTGCTAAAACGAAATTTCTCGTGGCAGGTAGCCAAGTCAACATGCCTGATAGAGCCGATATGAACGTCAACGGTGATACTGTGGAGCACGTTCCATCCTTCATCTATCTGGGGTCCGTCGTGACACCGGATGCCCGCTCCTCTACTGACGTCAGTCGCCGCATAGCTGAGGCTTCCAAAGCCTTTGGAGCTCTTCTTCCAGTCTTGTCGGATCGCTCGCTGCCATTAGTCAGTAAGCGAAAGCTATACGTGGCCTGTGTCTTGTCCATTTTGCTGTACGGCAGTGAGTGTTGGACGCCCTTGAAAGCTGATAGTAGACGTTTGGATGCCTTCCAGCATCGCTGCATCCGCACAATATTAGCCATCCCTCGCAGTCAGCAGCAATCCGATCGCATCAGGTCTGTGCAGTTACGTCGTCACTGGGGTGACCCAGTGCCACTCTCTGTTAAGATGCGCCATCGTCGTTTAGAGTGGCTTGGTCATGTGGCTCGGATGTCGGAGGACCGTGTCCCATTGCAGCTGTTGTTTGGTCGTTTGTTGGCTGCGCGCCCCTTCTGCGGTCCCAGGCGCAGGTGGAGAGACGTTGTGGCTACTGACACGAAGTCCATTCCAAACTGGTTTGATTGCGCACAAGACCGGTCAGCTTGGCGAGAGCAGGTTCTGGTTTTTCAGCCTCCTCGGGCAGTAGAGAAATCCGTACTCTGCTCATCTTGCAACCGGGCTTTCTCTCGTCCTCAAGACAAGGCACGGCACAAGTGTTTGGCTGAGCGCCAACTTCCCGTCCACCAACAGCGTGGTTCAGCACAGTGCGTCAGTTGCTGCCGATGGTTCCGTAGTAAGGGTGGGCTTGCAGTTCATCGCTGCCAGCCTGCACTCCCTGAACATGCATATACGGCATTGACGGCGTCTCTCGCTAGTTGCTGCTTTCAGCATTGTCAACGCTGCAATTGCTGCTTCAAGTCCCGGGCTGGTTTTAACCGCCATAACTGCAACCGTGGAAAACGTCTTGCTGCAGCCGATAGGGAATCACTGCCGCTGATCTGCATGCATTGCCTGAAGCGTTTCCGACGACAGCGAGATTTGACGAGGGACCAGAAGTCCTGCCAATGACGGTGCCCTCCAAACTCTGGCCCCCTCCGGGGGTGACATTGCCCAATGGGCAGTCATGCTATAGTAGTGTGTGTGTGTGTGTGTGTGTGTGTGTGTGTGTGTGTGTGTGTGTGTGTGTGTGTGTGTGTGTGTGTGTGTGTGTGTGTGCATGTGTGTGCGTGTCATGTGTGTGCGTGTCATGTGTGTGTGTCTGTGTCTGTGTCTGTGTGTGTCATGTGTGTGTGTGTGTGTGTGTGTGTGTGTGTGTGTGTGTGTGTGTGTGTGTGTGTGTGCGTGTGTGTGCATGTGTGTGTGTGCGTGTGTGTGTGCGTGTGTGTGTACGTGTGTGTGCGTATGTGTGTATGTGTGCGTGTGTGTGTGTGTATGTGTGTGTTTGGCATGCATCAGAAGATTTTGTAGGGTTGTAGTGAAAGTAGTACTGTAAATGTAGCAACACAGGTACATCGACATTGCCTGTCCTGTCTGTTGCAATAAGTCCAGGGCAGTGCCTAATAACATGTGTCTGCTTGTCTTTATGCATGGCTCTTGTAGGTTAACCTTCGCTATGGCATGGTATCATCCCTATTGTCAACCACATCGACATGTACAGCATGTGCTGGCACTATGCTACTGGAGTTTGCTACACTCAGCCGTCTGACTGGAGACTTTACCTATGAGGTGTGTTCAACAGTGTCCGGCTCAACTGCATCCCTGTAGTTTATGCATTAGGCCAGTATGTCAATAGCTCTATAATGACTATATGTCGACCGAGTACTCTACTTCTGTGGATGTTGTGATGCAAAGGATAATGTGAGGCCTTTGTAGCCTAGTCATTGTTGAAATGCATGTAGCAATGCACACCTTCCTTTTTGACCAGTTCGGCCCATTTGCTGAAGGTGATGCTCAAGGGATCAGATGAGTTTCTGATTGTTTCTTGGGACAGCCAAGAATGAAAGCAGGGCGGGTATTTTATCTTGGAATAATACCGTATTTTTCCGGTTGTAAGTCGACCTTTTACGACTTAAAATAGAAGGAGAAAGGGTGGGGGTCGACTTACAACCGGGATTCGACTTATAACCGGGAACTGCCAGTATCTTACAAAAAATGACCTGCACTGCATGCACGAGTGCACCATGTTTACACATTTTTGCCAGTTTATTGGCCTTTTCAAGGATTGGGACGTTATATCCTCCAATAAGGAATGTTTACATGATTTGTTGATGTGTTAGTAGCAGGAGGTGGTTTGTAGTGCTTCTTTGGGTGAAAACTTTAAAACGCAGAATTGAGACCTCCAGATAGGGGGGTCGACTTATAACCGGTAAAATACGGGTACTCCAATGAGTCTTGCCTCTACTTTCTACTCTCTTTTTTTAAGTAGTTTACTTTGAACTAAAGTGACATAGGTTATTTTCTCAGTGATACTTGTTCTTTTTGTGCTTTGGTGTGAAAGGAGAAGGCGCGCAAAGCTATGGATGCTATCTGGCAACGCCGTAGTCCTCATCTCCTGGTGGGAACTACCATTGACGTGCACACTGGGGAATGGAGAGAGCAAGGTAATTAGATAGTTTGATGGCCTCAATGGAAGACTCTGAGACAGGAACATTCATTCTTTGTGACAAGCACTCTTCCCCATGTTTAGCCACCAACACTTAAACAACAAGTTTCGAAAATCGGAAAAACTTTGAACAAATGATAGGCAACAGGTGAAGCGTATATCCCTGGACTGTTGCAACTTGCAGCGTACCATGTGCCGGCTCTGTGATCCGCACATCATATACTGAGTTGTTTTGTTGTGACGAGGAAGATATGTGTACATGATATGAGTAGGTCCAGTGTCACACCACACTGTCCTTTGGTACAATTTAGTACAACTTCACTTTTAACATTTTCACTGACTTAATCAACCTCAGAAGAAAACAAAGTTGACTGTCCTGATCATGGTACATAGTGAGCCAAGAAGAAAACTCGATGACCATTCTTTGCATGTTCTGTTTTAGACATCCTGTGTAGCCTACCCTGATGTATTGTGCTGCCACCCTCTTCCGAGAAAAGCCGGTATCAACGTCTTCTTTTTCCTCCTCCTCCTGTTGCTGCTGGTGGTGGTGTGGTTGTTTCGCCGGTTTATTCTTGTGTGCTGGCAGATAGTGGCGTTGGTGCTGGTATAGACTCTTACTATGAGTATTGCCTGAAGGCGTATGTCCTCCTGGGAGATGCAGAGTACCTGGATCGCTTCAACAGGGTACGGCACTACTTGGCTAATTAGTTTACCCGTGCGCACCCACCAATGCACATTTTGTCATCAGTGTGTGCATGTGTGTGTGTGTGTGTGTGTGTGGTGTGGGTGCGTGTACCCGTGCACGTGTGCATGTGTGTGTTGTCTCCCTGATCAGTCACCCTGATCCTGTTGGTCCTGTTCGAAAGTACAATTACATGTATCAGATTGTTATTGTTGCAGCAGGCATGACTATTCTTGTAGACTGTTGATTTCTCCAGACTTTGGTAATACAATGTTCTCCGGTGACATCTTTTTGGGATGTGTCACAGCTACTATCTACATAAGACTTTCAACAGCTAAGCGGTGTGTTCATATGTATGGGTTATAAGATGGGAGTCCCGGGCCCTGCCTGGTTTGTCTCTGTTGGAGGACGTTTGAGAATGGGAGTCTCCAAGGGAGAAATTTTGTTTTCTGGTTATTTTGGCCGTTTTGAGGTTTTCATTGCATCTCAGTATTCTTTTTCTGACGTTCTGCATGTGTGTCTGTGTGTGTTGTCCTGCCATGCAGCACTACGAAGCTGTGATGAACTACGGTCGTCGTGGCAACACTTTGCTAGACGTCCACATGTATAATCCCAACAATGTGGCGCAGAGTTTTGTGGATTCCCTGGGTGCTTTCTGGCCAGGTCTTCAGGTATGTTTATCCTATAATTTGAATACAGAACTGTCTGGCTGAGCCCTTTTCTTGCACATCGTTCACAGAATCTTCCATATATGAAACATCCCGAAGAATGTGCCCAGTGTGTGTGTGCGTGCGTATGTGTGTGTGTGCGTGCGCGTGTGTGGGTGCGTGCGTGCGTGTGTGTAGTTTTCAGAGTGGTGTTGATCTTTTCCCAATAAATGAGAGGGCTGCATAAATGATGCTCAAAATGTGTTACGTCCCGAATAGGTTGGCACTATTGTAATACGAAACAAACCAATCAGGCCCTCACTTGGAGCACGTCGGAAAAAGGCTCTGCTGCATCTTCAGAAAAAGTTGTACCACTCCCACAAGTAAAATGGTTTGTGCAGTAAATTACTGTATTGAAAACCAACCCACTAGCAGTCTATTCTTCATCAAAAGTATTCTTTCTTACATTCGGAATGTGGTGCGCTGTGTTTTGCACTGTGCTAAGCCTCCTCTCTTGAAATACCCAGTATTACCTAGTTTTCACTTGTACAAGTATACCCTGTATTCATGTATTCTGTGTTCACTTGTATACAATTGTATTCATGTGTTCTGTGTTGTTCTGGATCATGTAGGTCTTAGCTGGTGAAGTACCTGCAGCTGCCGATCTATTCTCCCATATGGAGCATGTTGTCAAGCGTCACAAGTTCATGCCTGAGGTAAATTGCCCGAGCGGTTTTTACTGAGTCTGTAGAAGCTTTACACATGTCGGTACTATTGTCATGCCAATGTGCTGTACTGGAACAGTCTACAAGTACAATAATGTGAAGTGCACCGGGGGCAATGAATACCAGGGCAGTCTTCTTTCTTTTAATGATACCCTTTGCGATCATGGGAATGCTGAATCCATCTGCGTACTCAAACCTGACATATACAGTATTTTCATAGAACTTGTTAGATCCAGGCTGCGTTTACACGACAACGCACGGCCAGTTTTCCGTTTTCAGTCCCGCATTTCTTTTTTTCGTTTTCGCGTGCATTTACATGATCAAAGCCGATCCGAGGTGGTCTCGGTTTGTATCGTTTTCGAGCGTCTACACGGGAGCAAAGGATCTGCCAAAGTTCGTCATGTGCCAAGTGCTGTTGTGGAAGCACCAATCACACTCAAGGAATAGTTGAAAACAGGCCACACGACAACACTCGTCACATGACGTAAATTGTAAAAAACATTTTTTTTGATTGTCGGATCCGTGTGAACGGCCGAAAACGGAACAAATTTGACGGAAAACGAGGCCAGCAGACCGTTTCGACTGTTTACACACCCAAATTTATCCGGCAGAAAATCTCCGTTTTCAAATTCTTCCACCTTGGCCGGCGTTTTGGTGTACAACTTTTACGTTTTGCTCTGCTTACCGTGTACATGAACCATGCATCCGAAAGGATTTTGTTGCGTTTTCACCCCCAGCGTTGTCGTGTAAACGCAGCCCCAGAATGCCAGTGGTATTGACGACTTATCCAGACACGCCTCTTCAGAGCTAATGCAAGGGGCTGGTAGAATTTCTTCTCAATAACGAGAGTTTTTTGTCTTATCCATACTTTATACGAAGCGGACATGTACTTCATTACGCTTCTCTCTTCTCTCGCTAACTCCGTGTGGTGTTTGTCGCTGGCCATGCCGTTGCCTGTGCTCAGATCTAATTGTTTGTTGTGTGTTTTATCGCATGCATCACCGCTGTACATGCGTGGCCGACACCGCTTTTAGCTGTGCTCTCAGCGTTCCGCTGGTTCACTTCAACAAAAACGTGCCATACATACAATGATATGTTGCAGTGAAACAAATTCGAATAAGCCGATGGGCGTGTACACCGATAACCATGGTGAATAAAATAATTAAAGAAGAAAAGTATTGGTCAAGACGGAGAATCATGGGAGGGACAGGTGATGGTGAATCTAGTGAGCAGATTTAAATGCGTCCAGGGTACTGGCATTGCGCGTAGTAGCGGGCAGCGCAAGCTAAGCAGAGTAGGCAACAAAGAGTGGAGAGTATACAAGGTAGGACGTTTTAGCCAAGGGAAGGGCAACAGAGCATCTTGCCTGGGATCCATCTGTGGTTCGGAACCAGTTGTACACGCTAAGATGAGGAGGATGTAGAGCTAGTTTAAATTTGTGAGCAAAAGTGCAAATTAATTTTTGGCGGTGGGTTGACAGTGGGCAAGCATGTGCAAGGGCATACAGGGAAGCAGAAGAGTAGAGAGGGGGTAGTCTAAACAGGATACGAAGAAGACGCTCAGCGAGAACCGAGGACAAGCCACACCAGCTAACAGCAGCGTACATAAAAAGAGGCAGGATATACAGTTTGTAAAACAAAATTTTGCATTTGACAGGAAGGTGGAAACAATGGGGACGTATAACACCTAGGGCAGAGCTTGAACGGCTGCAAAGAGCATCAATATGGTAAGACCAAGAGAGACGATCATCAAGCATTATTCCCAGGTGTTTATGGTTGGAAACAACCTGTATGGGGTATTCACACGACAGGCAAATCCACATGTACCGGAAAGTTGCTATGGTATTTTACCGGTAAACGAGAACAGTGGCTGAAAGTGGCTGAAAAGTGCAAGCGAGCTGGGGGCCCACTTTCACGATAATCGTGGCGTACACGAGTACGTTTACACCAAAAAGCGCGAAACAAGATTTGATTTTTTTACGCGGCTCTTTAGAGCATGATAATTATTGTATGCGTGTTTTGAAAATTTGAAATACCCATGGCTACTGGTCGGTGAAGCATTCAAAAATGCAAACGTGCCTGTCGTCGAGTGCAGCTGTGTGAATCCACACGGTCACTTTTCTCGTCTGTCACTCCCTGTAAAACGTGCAAGTGACTGTCGTGTGAATACCCCATTATGGGTTCTGGGAAATCAGGATGGTGTAAAAGTGACATGGATGAGATTGGGGGAGGGAACATTATTTCGGTTTTAGTCAGGTTGGGTCTAAGTCTGCATCCAGCGTAGGACACTGCGTATCTGAGCCGACGCTCGAGGTACAAGAGCCGCTGAGGACGAGGATGTTGACAGTAGGGTTGTATCATCAGCAAATAACGAGACACCTGGGTCTATAGAGGGTAAATCATTTACTTCGAAGTACGTATTATTATTATATGCACGTACGCGTTGCTGGGGCCCCCATTGGATGGAGGTTGCCCAGGTTCGCATGTGCCAAACTGATTATGGCAACGCCTCATGACGAAAACATACAGAGAGAAACAAATCGTGGGGAAACGAAACAAGAACAGTATTCGTACAAGCAAAAAGGATGCTAAACGATAACAACAACAAAAAATTCAATAGACACCCTTAGCAAACAACGGTAACGCTTTTTTTACGGTACTCGTACCTTGATCACCCAAATAGCGTTGAAGCTGCAGCGTATAAACGTTATGGGGGCTGATTTATCGTTGTGACCAACGGTACGTGTTTTGGCCAAATATTGCATAGTCCGTACGCATTTCACCTTGTATCGCGTATATGGTGACAAAAATGGTTGTACCGCGCAAAATCAAAGCTATTCTCGTGGCAACAGCTTACTAAAAATAGCGTGCATCTTGCTAAAGGTCGAACCCAAATCACGGTATTTCCCCCCCGATAATACCGTTACAACATAACGTTTTTTGCTAAGGGTGTCTAATAAAGGAGAAATGGAACGGCGAACAGACTACATGAAATTGAAAACACAAGAGCATGGACTGAGTCGAAGAGAGGACTAGGGGAAGGGTACACTTAGGTAGAATGAGAAGTGAATGGGAGGTGAACAAAAGAGAAACTGGAAAAAGAACCAGCATACACAGATGACAAATCGCGAACGAAGAAGAAACAGAGAAAACAAAACAGTGAGGACATGGCAAGCTGACCTGCGAGGAATTCGGTGATAGTGGGGGACGTTCTGCCACCGCTCCGCCTTGCCATGCCGACCATGCCCCGCCACGCGCCTTACCGCCACTGGACTGGCCCTCCACCCAATCGTCGTCCTCGTCACATGTTCCCTCGTCGGGGTCCGGTCTATGACCACTCCACCCGTTGGTTTGATGGTGATGTTTTGGTCCTGATTGTCTGTCAAGGCGGTGCGGTGGCAGAACGTCGGCGTCGTAGTAGCGGTGTAGAGTCGGGCGTATCGGTCGTGGTCGTGGTTGCGGGCGTGGTCGTGGTTGTCGGAGGTTGTATGTATGGTGTCGTCGCGGTGGTCGGTACGTGCGTATGTTGAGTCGATGTCGGATGGCTGTGATCAGTTCCTCCGCTGAGGGAGGGCGTGGCGCCAAGGCGAGCTGGCAACGCGCGGCGTCCAGGCGTGACGGCCTGATAATCCCGGGCGTCGGTGATGCGGGCGGAAGCACGGGCGTCTGAGGCGACGGCGGCGATGGCGCTTGCTGCACCCAGTCGGCGAATCACGGCGGCGACCCCCATGGGGAGATGTCCCACGGCTCCAACATTGCGCAGTTGGGATGGGGCGGCGGTGATTGGGGCGCAGGAGTAGGAGGAGGCGGCGAGCAGGGCGGTAGAGGGATCAGGAGGGCAGCTGCCAGTTCTTCTTCCGGAGAAAGAGACATGCTCGCTATATTGATGAGGAATGAAGCCCCACACCCAGGACGAGAACAAACGAAGCAAAACAACCGACCACACTCTGGCATATAATAACAATGCAGTACCGCACACTACGCCGACGGGACTGGGCAGTGCCACTTTGCTGTTGCGGACAGACAGAAACATAATGCCCTGCCTGGCCACACCGATGGCAAACACCAATCCGCCTTTTCCTCGCCTCCGCGGCGTTGATGGCAGCTTGGAGACGCCTTTGCTTCCTGGCATCTCCAGCAAAGGCGTCTCCATCAACAAACTCTTTTCGATCGTCTTGAAAAGACGTCGCGACCTGGTGGCCGTGCCTTTCGGCTAACATGAGCCACTCTTGCCTATGCCTCAAGCGTTTCTTACCCTTTTTGGCTGCTCTCCGTCGTCTCCTCTTCGAATCCGACTTCGTCTCTTCGAAGAGGTCCAATAATTGGGCATTCACCTCATGCTGCCTGGCATAGCTGGTGACTTTCCAGGCACCAGCACTGGCAACATGCTTCCTCTTCGGCCTTGAGGCGGGGGATGGTTACCTCGAAGAGGATGATGAGGATGATGGTGGAGAGTCTCTCCTCCTCCTTTTCTGGGACCTGCCCCAGAGCTGGCTGATTGTCCGTTCCAACATCCGGACCTCGGTTTGGAGCATTTTTCGCTCCGCATTGAGCTGCGTGTGAGGCATTCGACCCTCATCGACTTCGTCTTCCATTGCAGAAGCCGTTTCACACCGTGCGTCCGATGATGAGGACGACGATGACGATGTAGACGTATTCATTTTCACTGGGAAGATAGTTGAAACACAACTAGGTCAGGACAACAGAAAAAAATAGTGTGGCACCAGGAGAAATAAACCACAACTGACTGGCCAAGAAGATGAAGAGGAATTTTTGTCGAAAGCCCAAACGAAAATGGGTTCAAAAAATACAAGCTGTGCACTGTAGTTCCTTTTTGGGTGCACAGCTGCAAATTGGGAAGTGCTGTGCTGTGAGAAGTGCCAGGAAAGGCATCAGTTGAAGAAACACATGTATGGAAAAGTGCAAGTGGTATGCAGTTTAGTACTGGTATGGTGTTTTTGCAAGTGATTTTCAGAATCTGGCAAATGAACTACTGGTATGCATCAATTTACTTGTGACTCATCGAAAGCACAACATTAAAGTGCACACCAGATGAGTTGTCTAAGTAGATGGCAAAATTGCTAGAACCTTTAGTGGCAGCAGCACTTGTTTTGGGTGGATACTTGTGCCACTGTGGTCTGGCACCAACCTTGCATCTAACAACTACTGCAAGCCTAAGCCAGTCAGCCACGGCCTAAATCTCAGTTGTGTGCGTTCTTTAGCTGGTTTTTAGGTGTGGCCATGGGCTTATACTCTGGTGGGCTTACACAATATTCTTCGGTGGTGGGAGTTTTCATGAAGAGCTCCGGGGCCAAGCTGACACTCTTGTTCCCAGGAACCAAGCTGGCACTCTTGTTCCCAGGAACCAACCTTACACTCTTGTTCCCAGGAACCAAGCTGACACTCTTGTTCCCAGGAACCAACCTTACACTCTTGTTCCCAGGAACCAACCTTACACTCTTGTTCCCAGGAACCAAGCTGACACTCTTGTTCCCAGGAACCAAGCTGACAGTTTGCTCCTAGCTCTGTTCATCAGGTATTATGATTGCATTGTGTTCACATTTGGTTTTCTTGTTCTCCTGTTTTTTTTCCTAGGCTTACAGTGTTGATGGAGATGGTTACTGGTGGCATCATTTCTTGCGGCCTGAGTTTGCAGAAAGTGCCTACTTCCTGCATCAGGTATGTGCCATTGGCCTCTGCTAGCTAGTGTAAACTGCATGTATTCTTGTATTTCCGACGTATAAGCCACGGGGCCAATTTCAGCAATAAAAGTGCATATTCAACTCCGTAAAATACAGATAATTGTAGACAACTTGGTAGCTGGTGATTGCATTCTTTGTGTCAATGCAATGCCACAATCTGCCCTATCTCTCTCTCTATCTCTCTCTCTATCTATCTATCTCTCTCTCTCTCTCTCTCTCTCACACACACACACACACACACACACACACACACACACACACACACACACACACACCATACACACCGTACACACATACACACTCTCTCTATCTGACAGTGATATGGTTGGTGTGTGAATAGGCCACCGGAAGTGAACGCTATCTGGAGATTGGCAAGACTCTGCTCAAGAACATACAGCAGCATGCCCGTGTCAAATGTGGATTTGCTGCTTTCTCTGATGTACGCACTCTTGCCCATGATGACAGGTGAGTGGCCAGTGATGCTGGACTAGAAATTATACCGGTGTTGAGCTGCTGTGAAGCGCCAATCACTATTTTTACATTAGTATGCCGCTGGATATCAAAATCAGAGATCCAGATGTGCGTGCGTGTATGTGCCCCCGTGCGTGCACATGTGCATGTTTGATATGATACTAATATGGGTATACAACATTCTGCCTTTCGTTTTTGTTTTCCTCCAGGATGGATTCATTCGTCCTGGCTGAGACTTTCAAATATCTCTTCCTGTTGTTTGCAAATAAAAAGGATATACCAGTGGAACTGGATGACTATGTCTTCACCACCGAGGCACATCTTCTGCCATTGGTCGTTGCAAGAGTAAGGAGTTGTATGTGTAGTATGTTGGTGTAGTGAATCTACTATCCAGGCGTGCGTCCGTATACGCACACTAGCCTGCACTCTGTAACTCAAAAGGCTGTGTTCGTATGGAATGGTTTCACATCTATCACATGACAATACGGGACGGGAGCCACGTTGGTTCCAATTCCACCCAACCCCTGCAGTATGGATCACGTGATGTCGACCTTGTTGTTTCCACTGTACACATGCCATGATCACTTTCTGCACGAATTTAGTCACATGACAATACGTGAAACCACTATTGCCCCGAGTTGCCCCTTTCTAACGCAGTGTGTGGCGCTTTCCATGGCCTCTTTGTTTGCTGTAGAATCGATCTTCTGTGGTCAATGCCCACAGTGTCGACTACGAGATTGATGGCAGATGTGCTGCTGTGCATCTTAAAACTGAAAATCCCGTTGAGGTTTACTCGACACTGATGACCGGGGAGTTGAAGCAGGACATGTCCAGTCCAAGACAAGCGCTCCATGCAACTTACAACCAGTGCATTCACCGGCAGGCCAGCACACCAATGTGAGTACTACTGTACATGTCCGTACTTGAAGTACCATATTTTCGGCAATACTAGCCGAGACACTTAGTAGTTTGCGAGTCCTAAAGTTTCACCCAGTTTGAAAAAAGTCCGCACGAAAGCCCTGAAATGATGGCGTTATTTCAGACAGGGGGTAATAAAAGACCGGCCCTGATTCTATTCTTTGTTCGCGTGTATGATCCACTCTACCTTCCAGCTCCTATAGGAAGGCAAGTAGCTTGTGGGAGACGCTAAAGTAAAAGAAGAGTGGTTTGGTTACCTCGGCTGTGGTTCTGCTAAGGAACAACACGTCCGCAAGGAAATGTCAAGAATTCTGGCGCCCAGTGATGTATTTCTCGCCATCCAGAACGCAGTGGAGTAATTCGGTCAAAGTACAGTACATGTACTGCTCAATGAAACCTGGGTGCTGTTAGGCATCTAACACTGGACACTGTACTGTGAAGTGTGTACTGTGCAGGGCTCTGCCAACTTATTCATGAACCCTGGGTTCATTGAGCAGCACTTTAAATGATTTTGGTAGTGCATAGGAGGCAAAGAAAGTGAAATGACAACTTCAGAACGTGTTCCGACCTGTATGGATTTCTTCCTGTTTCAGAAAGCTGCGTCTCAAGCCTGAAGAGCTCAATGCTGAGAATCCCGAGCACCTGCAGATGCTACATGACATGGGCATCAGTATCGATCTCCAGGGTGACGGACGAGTGCAATTTTCTCACAACTCCAACAATGTAAGAGGAACTTAGAGCAGCCATTTTCCTGTGCGTATATTCTGGTTGTTTTTCTCAACACGTGAACAGATTGAGAAGCACGGGGTCCATAGAACAGCCCGGCCTCAAGCTGTTGTTGATAGTGATAGGTTGATTGTGTCCCTGGGGCGTATGAATTGTGGCAGACATACGCGTATGGAAGGACTTGATGAAAGCGAGGAGGGGATCCGGCACTCCAGCACAAGCAAGCATGTGCCACATACACTCTCTGGGAACTGTGTCATAGACCTTGCGCAAGTTGATAAAAACCATGTAGCCTTTGATGTTGTGCTTGAGCAATTTCTCAAGAAGTTGGCGCACAGATAAGATCACGGTAGAGCACGACCGCCTCCGCCTAGAACCACACTGACACACACACACACACACATACACACACAATAAGTGGGATCAAAACTGCGTGCTAGGTATTGTTCCTTTCCTGCACATTCTGTTCAACAATACGCCTGCAACGACAATCACCCACACCTGCACATCCACCATGGGTATATACATCACTGTGTGCTCCTGTGAGTTTTGCGTTCTTTGTTTGCGGTAGCTTCAATAGGAAATCTGACACCCCAATGTCCTACTAGAATGACATTCAGCAAGCCGCTGTTACCTACAACAGACAGCTCTCCCTCTCCCTCCTCCTCCTCCTCCTCCTCCTCATCCTCCTCCTCCTCCTCCTCCTCTCTACCTCGGATATTTTCTCAAAGCTAATGTATTTCCCCGAATATAAGCGGCAAAGAAGGGGATGCGACTTACAATCGAGTGGGACGTCCTACTTATGTGGATATATTGAAACAATATGTCTCAAACCTGAAAGTGGGAGTGCGACTTACAATCAATAGCGACTTATAATCGGGGAAATTCGGCACTTGAACTGTCTAAAGCATTGGAGTATTTTGAAAAGCAAACAGTGGATATGTGTGCGTGCGTGCGTGCGTGTGCGTGCGTGCGTGCGTGCGTGCGTGTGTGTGTGTGTGTGTGTGTGTGTGTGTGTGTGTGTGTGTGTGTGTGTGTGTGTGTGTGTGTGTGTGTGTGTGTGTGTGTGTGCGCATGTGTGTGACTCTAGGCGAAGACACCGGCTGACTCGCAAGAAGGCATACAGTTTATGCAAGCTCTGATACAGCTGCATGACAAGATCAAGTCAGAGCAAGGTACATGTAAGCACTTCTATTGTCCATTCGTCCCAAATACGCCTGCTGGCTTTTGAGCCCAGCTCTGGCCAAATTGAGACTGAAGGGATCTGGTTCTCCATACCATTTGCCCTGGCATACAGTCAACTTCGCTTATAACGACACTCGGCGGGGCATCAAAAAGGTGTCCTTATTCGCGAAGTGTCGTTATACCCGAAGTCTCATTATATGTATTACAGTGGGATGGGACTTTGCTCTGGGCATGGAAATTCTGTCGTTATTCGCGAATTGTCGTTATATCCGCAGTCGATATTAGCAAAATTGACTGTACCTGTCCTAATTTTGTAAAACCTGGTTGGATTTCGAATTCCCTATCCTAATAATAATTGCACGGGCCACACAATGCAGGATGTACTGCTGTTTTCACAATTTTTCATGATATCTTAAAAGTTACAATTATACTAGTACGTGGGAGACACGAAAGAGTTGGGATGCGAGTTTTTGGATGAATGGACGGGAGAAGTGTGCTATTCTGCACCAGGTAATGTGCACGTGAACATGTTCTCATTTATTTGCTATTGTAGTTTGGCATGCTAGCCGTTTTTGTCATGGTGACACGTGAAATGCGTTTGCTGCCCTCAGATCAGTTCCAGGACCATGCCGAATTGAAAAGACTAAGCCATTCTGTGTCATTTGAAACTCGGATGTTGAGCCAATAATAAATGTAGAAAGGAAACTCGTATCAATATGTCCTTTTCCTTTCTACATTCATACTGTGTCCAGTGATGATCACATTGCACCCACTAGTATTCTCTGTGGTCTGCCGCTGCTGTGCATTTCACAGCTGAGTTCGTCCGAGTAAACATCCTGGAACCGGACAACTTGAAGCAAGTTTTGATTGCCGGTGGAGCCCGTTTCGGTCCCAATCTCACCAAGGACCCGCCGTTTATGGTAAGCTTGATCTCTGTCTGTTCATCTCTGGTAGGGAGTTCAATCGAAAAATCAAATTTGCTAGTTTTGCGTAAAACGCTAGTTCTTCTAAACCGGGGAGATGTGAGAAATAACGTATGACCAATTTATCCCAAAATTCCAAGGCAATCTAGAGTTATAGTCGATTGAAGAGTGGAAAATGGGAGTGAAAACAGTCACAGGAGTAAATGCAAGTATGTGTATGTGGGTGGTGTGGTTTCTGTCCAGCACTGCACTATCTGGTGCGTACATGCAGAAGTGCATGGCGATACAGGATGTGTGCATGCACGCAGTGTGCATGCATGCCATGCGCATCTACTTGCACAGCTCGCACGTTTGCACCGTCCCCGCTTCTACAGTGTGCGCGCAGTTCATTTGATTTTTTTCATCCACCACCAGGAAATCGCCGCTGGCTGGTTTCTGTGATCATTTCCCTTCTACCTCGATAAAGCGCGAGCCTAAATGTTCTGGAATCCTCTTGTTCTAAAGAATAATTCGAGGCCGCTGAACACGAAAATCGGGTGTTCCTTGCGGTGCCGAGTAAGCACCTGGTCGAAATTAGTACTTCGAAGTGCCTCTGCGCAAAGCGCGGGAAGCATTTTTTGGAAGCATGGCATGTGTGGCACCATTGGAAAGGTAATGACCTCAGCTACCTAAAAATAGCATCGACAGTACTGAAAAGGCCACGGGAGAAGATACTTGGGCCTCGAACTCATCCCGAACTGCTGGCACAAGACGCCCATTCACTTTGTACATGCGATCTGTGACTGAATTTTTCCCAGCAACCGGAACTGAACTTCCTATCTCTGGTGTCCTATAATATGTGATTATGATGCACTCAAGACTTCACATTGTGTATTGTACAGCAAGCTAAGTTATGCCACCTGCTGGTGTGACCAGCTACTCAGGAGTGCTTTGCATTTGCTTAGTGGTAGAACCCTGGAGAATGGGTCTTCTAAATTATATAGCTCGGCTTTCTTCTACACTGACATGTAGCCAGTGGCTGTACCAGTACAGTCAACTTTGCAAATAAGGACATTCGGCGGGGCATCAGAAAAGTGTCCTTATTCGCGAAGTGTCCTTATATCCGAAGTCCCATTTGAATGTATGTGAACCCATATTTTATAGTATGACATGCATATCGAAATGAAGCTCTTTTGATGCTCTATGTCAATTTGTACTTTATTTTCGTATTGCAATTGAAAGGAACAATAAAGTCAATATCCAAGGGAAATAAATCGAAAAATTAACCTTTTGGAGCCATCTACAGGGACATGTTCATGTACATGTATGAAGATTAATGTGCAATCATGTACAACTACATGTACAATACAGAGGCGTAGGAAGCAGTTTAATATTGGTGCGGCGAAATTGTGAGAGGGGGGGGGGGGTCCGGGGGTCGTCCCCCGGGATTTTTTTTTAATTGGGCCTAAAAGGCCATATTTTAATGCTACAGAATAATATGAGAAATAAGAATATGCATGCTGATGATACACCGCATTGTCGATGTAAAACATGGTACCTGTACAAGAGTCGACAAGCCATCAACAAGGTTGAAATGTAAAAAAAATCGAAAATTATTGCAGGGATCGATTTATCCGGGTTCGCATCGCAGTTTGCGAATCAAAATTCACTGGCTGCGATTCGCTTTTCGTTTTTTATCGCCCAAAACTGCGATGCACTACAAAGACCAGTTGTGTGCAGTCTACATGCGACTGTTGTACACACTGCTGACTAGGGAGTAGCATTTTACTACTCCAACCAACTGGCCTGTCCTGCTCAGTCCGCGCGGGTCGCGGATCGCGCTCTTTCGATTTTGGACACTGCACCAGCACTGGTCGTACATGACTGCATGCAGTCTTCTGAAGTTTTGTACACGGCGGTGACTTTTCATGATGTTCTCCTTTCTTCTTTCACTGTCAAGCTCAGTTTGTTTCTGTTCGACAAGGCACAGTTGAAGTAGATGGTTCTTAGTCTCATGTAGCCAACATGTCAGTGAATCTGATCAGTGATTCACTGTCCAGAAGAGGGACAAAGAACTGGACGCGCCAGGAATGTCGATTCGTTTCCATGAAGAAAAGGAGAAAAGTGAAATTCGATGCGCTTTGCACGAAATGTCACGATCGTTTGAGCGCTTTCCTGAGGTTTCTTTGTCGAAGGAATCAGTGGAACTGCCCTGTTGAAAGACATTGTGTTGTGAAGAACTCGAAGACGGATGGACGCTGAACATGTAACGTGCCCAAGCGAAAACTCTAACGTAAATATTTAGGTCGAACATTCGCTTGGAAAAGCAAATAGCAACTGCAGCTATTGTCCTCTTCTTTACGAAATCCTGCTATTGTACAGCTATACATGCAAACTTTTGATGAAGGAAAACTGCTAATCAATACTGGGAGTTGCTAGTCAATTGTAAAACTGTGTAGCAGTGACTGCTATGCAAAAAAATCAAAGTAAATCGATCCCTGTATTGGTCCGGCACCGGCGACCGCCGGGCCTGCCGGACCGGTTCCTACGCCCATGCAATAGGTGTGCTGATCATTCCAACTATTTTGAAGAAAAGAAAAAAGAAAAAGCACCCCCCCCCCCCCCCCCTGGCTGTATCTTCTTGAATCTTGTATGTGTGCCTTATCCATCGCCATGGGTTCTGGTACTTCTGCATGACAGGTACTTGAAATAGCTGTCAAAAAGCCAGAAAGTCGTTATTCAAGCAGTGAATATGACCTCGGGGCACTAAAATCATGTCGCTATTCGCGAATTGTCGTTATTCAGATAGTCGTTATATCCGAAGTTAAATGTATACAGTCAGATGGGACTTTGCTCTGGGCATGGAAATTCTGTCGTTATTCGCGAATTGTCGTTATATCCGAAGTCGTTATTAGCAAAGTTGACTGTATGCTGAAGTGAATCAACGTCTTGTGCAAAGTAATTTTGCATTTACCGGTAGTTATTTCTCTACAGTGGAGCCATGGATGAGAATCTACAAACTTCAAAGCTGACATGAGCACACCTAATGCAGTCAACCCGGCGAATAACCACCCTCAATCGTGCATGACCAACGCATATGGCCGATTGGTTTGCAGGCTTGCCTGCGAATCATGAGGTCCCGAGTTCGAGACCCGCGCTGGTAGCAGGGAGCGTGTAAAGACTTTTTACGTGAGTAAAGACTTTTTATGCGTGGTGAACTGCGCCGACACCCACGGTCAACTGGGTACTCACAGCTCGGAGTGAGGGTAACACGGATGCAGTTTACAGGGTTATGGGCCGTTACACGCCCGATTGGTTGAGAGACTCACCTACTCTCCCCTGACTCACTTGTGAGGTCTGCATTCGCCACTAAGGTGTGCAAGGCATAGGCATAGTGGTGGCCTGCGGAAGCGAAGGCTAGTTTGTGTGTTTCTGAACATTCAAGCGATGCCAACGCGAATCCCGCGAATTATTATTATTATTAATCGTGCATGAGAAAAGTGTCGTTATTTGTGAGTTGTTGTTGTTCGTGAGGTTGAAAGTATGTAGTCAAAAGGTCACTGGGTGTGAAGATTGTGTCGTAATTCGCAAGTTGTTATTACTTCAAACTTTCGTTCAAAGTACACATACCCGTGATCGTCATTCACGAGTTGTCTGTACTAAAAGACAGGCACAGTACATGTATTTAAATTCGATTTGACTTTGCGCAAAGTTCTTTTCCTTGTGACAACTCTATAGTGAGTCTTCTCTACTTGCCCGTGCGCAACAAGAAGAATGTTCAATGGTTGATTTCTGCCTTTTAACGGCATATTGCTCCTCTCTTATGGTCTCATGATGGTTTCAAACCAAGCACAGTTTACGAGCAGTGACTTAACTCTTGGGTTTTGATTGAGCTTTTTTGCCGACTTTGTCTGTTGTGTGTTGTAGGTAACTGGACCGCTCAAACACAGCCTACCGGTGAATGCGTGTTCATCTCTTGAAACCGACATGACTGGGAGAATAGCTCTGGTTCAACGTGGCTCGTGCATGTTTGTCGAAAAGGTACATACCAGGATTTCTTTCCTCTGAGAAGCAACAATGGGTCGCCTTGTGTTAGGAATGTTTGTGTGCAGATAGGCAATTTACTTGCTAATATACTTATTGATTTTCTTGATATAATCCTATGGCCAAGTATGTGGTCTATAGTTTGCGATGCCTGTAAGTTCCATGCTCCCATTGCAGGTGAATGCTGCATGGGCGGGTCCCATTGTGTAATACTCTGCTAGCGATGTTGCTCTTCGTAGTTACTAACTTGACAATGCTTAGCACTACAAGTTAATTGAAGTTATCACGGGGATTATTATCATAGCTAATGGTCATGTAACGCACAGCTGTGGCTTGAACTGGTATCAGCTATCTTCGACTTTCAGGGCTGTATCACCCATGTGTGTTGTTGGTACAAAGTGACACTTTCGGAAGAAGAAAAAAGTGCTTATGTATGGCGAATTAGTGTTGCTTGTGAAATTAATGACATCAAAATGTGGCAAGACCTGGTGTCACAGGTGCTAAATAAAAAATGCACTACAAGGCTACAGTCATGAATTGTGACATCCATGACTCCTCAATAATGGCTGCGGCAGTGAATATATCGATTCAACCTTTCCGTTGGTATATGCACAGTTGGATTGTGTCGTTACCGTACTCTTGTTTGTACTGGTATGCACGTGACGTTGGAAATTTGAAGTCCAGCTTCCACGTATAATTATAGATGTCTAAGGTTTTGCGTGTGACAATTCTGTATAAATTATTTTGAAATGCACTCATTGCGCCTATGTTGTTCCACTTCTTGTATGGTGAGTATGCCACTGTTTGGTTTGCTCTCCACTCCATTCTGGCCTACTAGGTTCTTCATGCAGAGGCAGCTGGAGCAGCTGGTGTCATCATTTATGGTAGGTTGATGTCCCTTCTCTGTCTCTGTGAGTTTGGTGGTCTAAAGCTCAGCTGCTGCCTCTGACTACATACCGTAGTGACCCACATAAGCCCTTGCGTTTATAAAGCAAGTTTTGCCGTAATTATTTGAAATGTTTTCAAGGTCGATGGGTCTCACATTATAGGCGCATGCGCTTATAATTGAGTTATTATTATTATTATAATGCATTCCCGCGGCAGCGTCAACAGTGCAAGTGCAAGTCACCCATGCACAAACACAGTCCACACGTCCGCTTATGCTGGACATGGTAAGAGAAGCAGTTGATATAGGAGACAACAAGCACAAACGTAGCTGTAAATCCGTTGTGTATAGAATGTTTAAAGTGTATCGAGCGATATTTCCGTGATCTGGGAAAAAGGCGACGGCGCGGTTTCATCGCCGAAACCTCTACTCGCAGATCATATCCAGTAGCTGCCTCCATTCGCTTCGAACTGCAGCTACGTCTGATAGGCGCTCCAGATCTCCCAGGCTCTGCAATCGCCCGCACGCAGCTCGGTTGAGGTCGTCGTCGAGCTTCACCGGCAGGGTGATGCGAGGGCGACCTCTCCACTTGTGGTCATCACACTCAAAGTAGCTGACCATCCTTAGGACGGCGGGGGCATCACTGGGAAGTCGAAGGATATGGCCAAATAGCCTCCACCGAGCTCTGGTGATGATGCGGCTGATGGGCTTTGCCTTGCACCTGTCGTAGAGTGCTGTTGTTGCGATCTTCTGCGGCCAGACGAAGCCAATCAGTGAACGGAGCTGGCCGCGGTGGAATGCGTCGAGTCCATCCTCGGCAGCCGCCGTCAGTCCCCATGCACCGGCGTTGTATACTAGCACTGGTAGTACAAACGCATTGTAGAGACGAAGCCTCAGTTCTTCTCCAACGGTACTGCGCCGGCTCCATAGTGACCGGAGCGATCGAAACGCTGCAGCGGCTAGTTGTTTCCGCCGAGAGACATCCTCGTTATCCCCGAGGAGTGAGCCGAGCTTCTTGGTGGTGCGCCACTGTTCCGCTATCCTGTCCAAGGATCGGCCCAGAACGGTAATTTCTGTTTTATCCGGGTTTACCTTCACAGCCCATCCGCTGAGGACGTCACCAATAACCGGCTCCAGGTCACCCAACCAGCCAGACTCTGTGCTGATGAAATGCGTGTCGTCGGCGTACGCAATTTCAAATGGCAAGCCGAGATCCGATGATGGCCGAGCCCTGGCAGTAGCAGTGCTCCTTACATCCCGCAAAGCTGCCTCAAGATATACCACAAATAGAACAGGGGACAAGGAATCGCCCTGGGGCGTCCCGATAGTGGTATCGGCGGATTCGGATGTTGCTGTGCCGATGCGTACACAGTCAGAAGTACGTGTTCGCTAGTAGGACACGGATGAGACGGATCTCGTCCTCGTCCAGGAAGGAATTGAGAACTGCCAGTAGACGGTCTCTGCGGATGCAGTCAAATGCTTTTGACATGTCGATGCCGAGGACCACCAATTGCTTCTTGTATTTCTGACAGGCTGCAACATACCAATGGTGGCTCCAGACCACATCCGCCGTTGGAATTTGGAAGTTGTACATTAAATGCTGTAAAGATGGTATCATGGTGGAGTCAGTGTGTCGTGGGATTGGGTTCGCTTATAAGCCCATGTGCTTATATGTGAGGGTGCGCTTATGCCCGGATATAGGGTTGGTATGAAGAAAGGGAACGGTAAGGGTGGCAGGGAGTAAGGGTGGGGTAATGTGATTCAGTAACTGTTTCTGTGCACTTCGTTTCTCAGTCTCCTCTTTCATGTGTGGGTTTGTTCATTGTAGATACGCAGAAAAGAGGCGAAGGCCAGCAGCTGATAAGCATGACAGGCAATGGCAGTTTTGTTGCTATTCCGTCAGCTTTCATATGGATGGAGCAAGCATCACCATTGGTCGATGCTCTGACAAGCGGCTTGGTAGTCGTTGGAAAGCTGGAAACAGGTATGGGGTTTGAGTTTCTGTTACTTTGTTTGTACCACAGCTTACACTATAGCATGCATTGCAACCCTTATACAAGACTGGCGGAAGCAGTTTTGATTGGTTCGGCCATAACCATAGTCTTTCATACTTTGTGTGTGATATTGAAGGCACACCTGACCTCCTTGCAGCAAACACGCGTAGGTAGCCGAATAGTTGGTCCGGTCATGGCCTGACCTACCGGACCAGTTCCGCTAGGCCTGTTATAGAGTGGAGCCTTGGTCTGCGGCCACCTTGCTAAAACTACTACCTATTTCGTGTGTCTTCCTCACCTTCACATTTTACTAAGCATGTGTGTGTTTTGTACTTTTTTCCTCTCTGCTTGTGCTTGTGACCAGCTGCTGCAACGGAAAAAGATGCAGTTGAGCAAAAACCGGAGGAAACCGAGGAACAACTGGAACAAGTCCCAGGGGACTCTCCTGATGACTCAACAATGAATGGTGCTGGATCAGCTGTAGACAACGAGCCCCAGGAAAACAACAGCATGTATATTCAAACCGAAAATGAAAGTGGATTTGATCGTGATAGTGGAAGAACGCATAGCGGAAACCAAGGCGGCAATGCTAATCCTTGAAGAGGTCATCCTAATATTTCTGGTAGGAAGTGGCTTCTCCTCATCATGCACACAATGATAGTGACATGGCAGCTCTCCAGAGAAAACCAAAGCAACAAAAAAAGTAGTGTGTTGGTTTCCTCAAGAGCTCCAGACGTCCACGTTGCGATCATGTATTCCCTGGCCATTGAGCACTAGAAAGAGTCAACTTGTGTTGCTCCATTCATTATTTTACTAACCTGTAGGACGACTTGCTGACACGATGACGATACCTGACGACACCTGACGACACCTGATGATACTGGGTCAAGTTCTTCAGTGACAAGCTGGCACACTTGAACCCGTTTCAGAATCATGATACTCCCCCCCCCCCCCCCCCCCCCAGAATTGTAGGAATTTTTAATTTATTCTGCTTCAATCAAACCAACTCTACAATAATTTCATCCTGTGTCCTTGATTGTGTGCTGTGTTTGAAGTGTTTTCGACTATATTTACTGCGGCCCACCGTGTGCGGCTCTACGCTAACTGTGTTGCCAAGCTGTTGTGACCGTAGTTGTCTCCCCATGCCTTGGCAGATGAAATTCGCTGGAGCTTGGTTTCGTGCAGCTCAATGTGAATATGTGTGCACCTGCTCTGCATGTGCTTTTCACTATATCAGTATGCAGGACAGGCTCCTTGCCTGTGCTCCAGTGGCTGGATTTCATTTGCCCCGCTGTATTGTATACTCTGTGTGAAAACTGACCACGGGTGTGAACAGTCCCACTCCGTTGACCAAAGGTCTGAACTTTTACCTTGTCCCGTGACCTCAGGTTTCCCCGTGAGTGTGAATCCAGCGGTACTCGCACCCTGCCGCATGTTTGGCCATGAATTTGTGGCGGGGGAATTAAAAAATATCTGTGCTGCATTTTTGAAGTACATTCTGTACTATGTGTTGCATTCGTCATGCGCGATTTTCCAATGGGCACTGTCCGATAATGCAGGCTGCGATGCACTCGTACAACTAGGGTTCAGAGTTCTCGCCAAAGACAAGATCTACGCATGCGTGTCTTATAGCCATGGGATTTTTCCCTTGACAAACTAAACGCCCTGAGGCCCACGGTCACGGCTTTGCCATTTTTTCCGGAGGGGTTCTTCCTTTCCCCAGTACCATGGTTTCCATAACAACTTTCCCACAACCCTGGTTTTACCCATGTGTGTGAATGAATCCCCTATTAGAAAATGCCGCAGAGTAACTCCTTTTCCCCGCGGAATGTGACGGGGAATTTAGAATTCTTGTCCGCATTTTGCAAAGGGGCAGCCAGACATACATAATTATGATTATACAAATGCACACAAACACTTGCATCTTGCAAGTGCATTTTTTTTACTTAAGCTGTGTTCACAACTGGCATGGCGCGTGTATGCGGTACGCTTGCAGTTCATGCGTGCCCAAACACGCGCTCAGGCTTTCACAACAAACAGCAATCCGAGTCGTATTTAGCGCGTGCGACACCTTCGAGTACTAATTTGTTGACCCCGTCAGTCAGAAGTGACGGCATGTACACTGGTACGCGTTGAAAATTCCAACATGTTGGAATTTCCATCATGTTGGAATTTCCATTTCGGCGCGTTTCCGTACGCATGGCGCACCAAAAGCCAGCAAAAATACGCACAAATGCGTGGTTTCACGCGTACACGTGCCAGTTGTGAACACAGCTATAGAACACAACCCTATTGAGAAACATGTGGAGACAAACACAAAACAAGCAAAAGTCTGAAAAGAGGATGTAGGGAGTAGGGACAACGTGCCGATGTACAGGGAGCAACTCGACCGACCAGAGGTCTCGGCATTAGCGTTGCAACCTGGCATCAAAAATGCGGGGGGGGGGGGGGACAAAAAAAGTAAAAATCATAACAACCAAACTGGTGTGGGGGCGAAGAAGGGGAACGATCGCAGGAGGTAGTCAGGGGCTGTGCGAGTGGATGTCCACTGTACCTGGAAGCCATGGTGCACCTGAAGTTGTTGCCGTGTGCGCAAGCTGGATACGCCAGGGTGCTTGGTTGGTGACAGCATGGCCTTGACCTGGGGAGGCCCTGGAATGTAGTGCAGCTTGTATAACTAATAAGGGCTGCTACCAACTGGCAGAGCTGGAGACTTTGGAGGATGGTTTCAGGTCTCAGGAAATGCAGGACACGCTGCTGAACCTTGTCTAGATGCAAGGGCGTCGGAACCGCACCGGCCGGGGCATGGCCGCCCCACTTTTTCGGCCGTTTTTTTATTTTTTAGCACAGTGCAACAAAGCGCGATGATCTCAGCGCAAACGTGGCAAATCCTTGTCCCTGATTGTGGTTTGTTGCAGAATCAAAAGTCCATGTACACTGAAATGGCACCAAATGCCTGGGAATGCTTGCAATTGGCTTCGATTTTTGAATTTTTTTCCCGGGGGAGGGTAATGTTTGTCCCTGATCGTAGCATCTTCTTGTTTTTTTGCAGAATCAAAAAGTCTTTTTTTGTAGTTACCGTACACTGAAATGGCACCAAATGCTCGGAAATGCTTGCAATTGGCTTCAATTTTTGAAATTTTGTCCCGGGGGAGGACCCCCGCACCCCCCTTCCATGGCCACCCCACCTCCAAAGTCGGTGCGACGCGCCTGAGATGGGCCATGTTAGTTGTGGCTGCGCTCGACCAGGCCAGTGGGGCATATTCGAGTAGCGGTCTCTTGAAGCCCTTGTAGACCGCCACCCGACCATGGTGGTCCAGGATGGGTGCTGCCTTTCGTAGAAACCCCAGCCTTTGGGAGGCGCGCAGTGCAACACTGCGAGTGTGGGCTCTGCAGGAGAGAGTAGGGGCCGGCGAGCATGACTCCCAGCAGCTTCAGGGTATCTGTCTCCTGGAGCGCTTCACTTCCAAAGATAACTGGTGGAATGCAGGGAGGAACGTGTTTGTGATGCAGAGTCATGTGCTGTGTCTTGGCTGGTTCGAAGTAGATATGCCACTTGTGGCCCCACTCCTCAAAGCTGCTGGGAGACCCCTCAGTGGAAGGAGCCAGTGGACTGTTGTAGATCGTCCGTGGGCTGTACTAAGCTGTATACACTGTAGTGTGGTATCGTCTGCAAAGCTGCTCAATTGCCGCGTTCCTGGAGTTACATTGTTCAACAGGGTCGTCGGAACCGGTGCGGCAGGTGCGGCCAAAGCCGCACCAATAATTTTCGATATTTTTTATTTATTTTTTACATCTCAACCTTGTTGATGGCTTGTCGACTTTTGTACAGGCGGTACCATGTTTTACATCGACAATGCGGTGTATCATCAGCATGCATATTCTTATTTCTCATTATTATTCTGTAGCATTAAAATATGGCCTTTACTTTAGGCCCAATTTTCAAAAAACATTCCCGGGGGAGTGCCGCCGGACCCCTCTCTCACACTTTGGCCGCACCAATGTTAAACTGCTTCCGACGCCCCTGTTCAATGACTATGTCACAGCCTCACAGGTACTAGGTGTATACGGGAACTACTTACTCAGAGGAAGAGGCTGGGTCCTGTAGGATGCTGCCTTGGGGGACACCAGCCTGGATGGGTCGAGCATCTGAAGTCTGGCCTCCAACTACAACGCGGATATTTCGGTGGGTGAGATAGTCGTGTAGCCATGCAAGCAGATCTCCGTTGACGCCGGCCTGCTTCGCTTTGTACAACACTCCTGTGTGCGATTTCCAATCAAACGCACCTGCAACATCAACATCGATGACCTGGACACAGCCGCCAGTACTAATGGCGTGGACCCATTCGTGTTGGAGAGCTTGTTGGAAGTTTTATTTTACATCGCAAACCAAACGGGCATTGATGCCCAGTATTATCATCGGATGGCGATAGAATAAAAAGTGCCGTTTTATTTAGGGTGTCCGCGGTTCCTCTACCCCGTCAGTTGGGTGATGACACAGCCCTTCATGACTTTAGACATGATACTTGATAGGATTAGGACTTAGGAGTGACGGTAGGTAGGTTACTCGTAGATGGCACAGATCTGGAGGACCGCTTCTGGACCGGGACAACATGGGCAAGTAGTTTCCATGCCGCAGGTTGCACACCGGCTAAGAAGCAGAGAGCGTATAATTATGACCATGATGACAGCAGACAGCATCGGTGCAGACCGTGAACTGGCTGCGCTGGATCGCTACTAGACGCAAGCCTTTTCACGCCTTTGGCCCTGTTATGTAGCTCTGGTAAAAACTATCTCATTTCCGCTGTCTAGCATCTACATGACATTGTACTATACTACGGTCTAGCGCGGCTGTGTACCGCGTGTACGTGCGTAACAGACAGGCCTTCATGTATACAGTCGGTCGATTTCTTGTTGGATTCGGTGTGGGAGCGCCGGCCGGAAAATCGGCCTTGTGTGAACCAGGCTTTAGCCTTTAGTCCATCCAACCGATGCGTGCTGCCCTATCATCGTGCATCAGCAGTGGCTCCGTAAATAGAGTTCAGAGTTCAAACACGCAGCACCGACGCATGATCTACCGAACGTTGCTCGTCAAACAGGGTTCAAAGTTCAAACACGCAGCACCGCTGCTCGAAGCCTCCGGTGCGCGCCAAAATGTAGCTGTTCAGTGTTGTCTTCGTCGAAGAAGAAGAGAGGAGGCCATTTTTCCTTGTCCTGAGGTTGTCCATTATATTATTGGCTCTCGTCTTTGATTGGATATTTCCATGCGATAAGTTTCAGGTAAGATGCCTAGAGATTTGAACGCCATTTAGGTGAAGCTATCCGACCGTCGATTGCGCCAACCAACTGTTAGTGGGTAGCAAGGTTACCGAGCATTGTCAGAAGGTGTCGGAAAGGTAGTTGTGCGCTAACCAAGTGCCAGGTAACGGTGATATTTTATCGCTTTCCGATTGTGGTAAGATCAACTCCCTAGTTTCAAAGGGGAGAGTGAAGCATGCATGTTTTATATTATCGTTATGACAGCATCCCTTTTGAATGTTCTGTTATTCAACAAACAACCATGGAGGTGTTTTTCGCGTGGAGCTCTAGACTGGACGGAAGACTACAAACTAAGATCTATCCGTGTTCCTTTTAGCTTTCGGCTTTATGTTTTGGCTTCCGCCGAACGCTACACCAAAACTGGTGCCCATTCCTGGTGGATACTCCTTTGCATCCAAATGCCGCTTTCTCTTGGTCTCTTTTCCTCCAGACCGAAAACCAGCAGCGTCGCCTTCGTTTCAATCATCTAGACCCCCCACTTCCATGGTTAGCAAACTCTGGAACACTTACAGAATCTCGCGTGGATGGCTGTTGGGCGCTTTCGAAGGTGACACTAGGAAGAAGCCATCAAGCTTATCGGTTCCCTCTAAACCCAAGTTGAGTGGAATTCGATGCTCCTGTGCATGCCCGAATATGTACATGTACTTTGCTTTGTAACTGTGGTTTGTGCCTAGTATAGGAACTTACTTGTACCCATGCTATGGGGCGATAGACTGCTCTCCTATCTCGTTGGCACAGCACTTGGCGAATGGTTTGTTTCCTTTGGCCCTTTGGGGGGTTTTGTGCGAGTGTTCCATACAGCTATCGTACTACTGGCACTCGCAGCGTCGTGTCTGACACTCTGGGTCATCGCGTCGACTGGTGGTCTCTTGGCTCAAGATGAATTTCGTTTGCATATTTGGACCTTCAGGTAAGAATTCTGTTCTTCGATTGTCACTCTGTCACTCACACACGATAGCAGGCTTAGCAACCTACAGACCCCGTGATTTCGCTGGACCAACCGTCCAACCTTCCCACTGTCTCCATCTAGCGTTCTCTTTCTCTCTCTCCCGCTCTCTCTCTC